TGCATGGATTCTAAAATAGTATTCTCGACGCATGATAACATAATTCAAGTTTCATAATCTCTTTTCCATACTTATACCGAAATAAATTCACCACAAACGTTCATTTTCTTTCAGTAATGGGTGGAAATGTGTTCTCGGATTTTTCATATTAGGCATCATGCTGAAGGCACTCTTGTTCAAAGATACCTCAAAATATATGAACTTCTTCCACACGACAGCAGCGAAAACTGGGAAAACAGAATTAAGGTAAATTCTTACAAAACGCACCTCAAAAGTAAAGTTAAGAGTATTATCATTAAACACTTAATTATTAGTGACCAGTTCTCCGTATTCAAATAAACATACTAAAATCATTTAATAAGGTCTTTTCATGTCTTTTATATAGTTTATAAAGTTTATTCAAATAGCATGTATATTATTGTGAATATACAATAATCTGCTTATGTTTCTTATTAATTAGTTTAAACATATTTAATTCCTTTCAATCTTTACAATATGTACAATGCAAATAAATAGAAAGAAAAATATATAAATACATTTTGAAAGAAAAAGGGTTGGACCACAAGTTCAAATAACATTAGTAAATCGGTCCGTCCCTATAGTGCGAATATATAAAAAAAATATTGATACTATAGATTACATTGAAATGGCACTGAAAAATATAACAAAGTACTTGTATTTTAGGAACAAAAAAGTTATATCATTTGCTGAGAGAGAGAGAGAGGGGACAGAGGAGGGGGGGATGTACTTTTGACAGTAGTAATTTATTTTATGAAGAGTAAAAATCTTCAGCATTAAGCAGATTTTATCGAAAACGTTCCGTATGCTTAATATATCTTTGAACTTCTAAAAATATTAATGAATTGTCTTCTTCGGAATAGGTAATCTTACCAAAAAGAAGAGTACACGTTTTTAATGGATGAAAAATGCGAGTAGCATTTAAAAGTTGAACACGTTGTGATGTATACCGTCTGCAATTGAAAAAGAAATGTTCAGCATCTTCAAAAGCATAACCGCATTCACAAGATGCATTTTCTCTTACATGATTTATAAATAAATCAGCATTTAAATTGCTACATTTGTTACGAATTTGAGCATGTAGAACCGAATGTAGACGATCCCCGATACAGAAAAAAACTAGGAACTGTCGGAGGTTTGTATTTCTGTTTAAGCATTTAAATAATTTAGGGAGGATGAATTTCTTATGTCGGTATCAAAGTATTCCATAGTGACGTTGCTGATGGAATAAATGAGTTTGTAAAAATTTGAGTACGACGTGCTACAGTTGTATAATTGTCTCTGTTTCTAAAGACATAAGGTACATTATTAGAAACGGTATCTGGAAAAATGTTTAATAAATAATAATAATAAATTTCTTATTAATAACATTTAAAGGCTAATCATGCACCAGAAAATCAATATTTTTTACTGTTGTCAAACACGTGTGAAATAAGCTGCGGTCTCATTTAATTCCGAAAGAGCCCAGTACCATCCCGGTAAGTTACTGGGATGATACGGGACGATCCGGTTGAAATTATTGTTGCGGTCACACTAACCCCGGCAGCACTACGGTAATTCCCGACGAACGACCCAGGATGCGCTCCGGATCATCAAGACAGAACCCAGGTGAAGCTACGGTTCATGCCGGTGCTTCCCTGGTCATTCCCGGATAACGTCGGAAGAACCCCGTTTGACCCAGGCAGAGCATTGGCAGAGCCCAGGACGATCCAGGCAGAGCTCTGGTAGAACCCCGGTGCATTAAAAACGCGCGAAAATGATTACATTGATACATAATTTTTATTTAAAGCATTACGCCTCCAGATTAATGCTTCTTATTATGAAAATTTTAAAAATGAAATTAAATGTATAATATTGTAAAGTAACCAAAAGGAAGCAATTAATACATGATCAATGGCACTTACAACCCACGTTAATTATAAAAGAGGTAAAAAAAATGCAACAAAATGCCCTTACTGCGTTAGTAACGCAGTAGAAATATAATTACACATAATGAAAAAATCACCATTATTCGCTTATAAAATGTAAATTATTACTTGAATCTTGAATCTTTCCACTTTTCCTAAAATCTTAGTACATTTTTCGCAAGTTTGATTTATTGAAATATTTTCGCTCATCTGGAGGCATGCTGCTTTAATATGATATCTATTGTTTCAGAATATTAATTCATGATGATTTTCTGAAAAATCCTAATGCAAGACTGGATAGAAGGGAAATGGGAAGGGTGTTAATACAAACAAGTGCAATCATCGCAAATTGTCGTGATTCTTTTGAAATAAACCGGGCTTTCTCGGGGCTCTACCGAGATCAACCGTAGCTCCATCGTCATTCTCCGGGGCTCAGCCGGCATTCTCTGGGGCTCTGCCGGTATTCACCGGGGCTCTGCCAGCATTCACCGGGGCTCTACCGTAGCTCTACCGGCTACATCATACCCCGGATCATCCTCGGTTTGTGCCGACATAGCTACGGTGCTTCCCCGTTGTAACCCCGGTCGTTCCCGGAGCTAAGCTATACATCCCGGATCATCCCGGACCAACCAGGTGATATTAAATTTTATCATGCAACTGCTATGGTAACTGCCCGATAACACTTGCCTGATAATTATTTTTGATATCAGGTCAGTAACCTGATATCAAAAATAAGCCCCGCCCATTTTAACGGACTTTTTTCAATTGCTTATATTTTTCATCAGCATGTGAGTTCTACAATGTAATCTCATACCCTTACAAGTCTTGAATCAAGATATGATAATTTATTTATTTTATTATTTTGATTTCAATTTACGAATAAATTAGATAGCGAAATAGTTTTAGCACCAACTAAATGAAGTGACGTCATAATTTATATTGCAAATGACATCATCGATGTTCACGTCATACTATACATGTAATCATAACAAACAGGCTAGACGATTTTCTTTGAGAACTTGTAAATGTTTACTTTATTTCGCCGGATTATTATTTAATAAATGAACACATTGTTTCGTTTGAAAAATAAGACGCATGTTTGTGTAGCTTGTGTTTGATTGCCGATTTGACTTTTCTTTGATTGAAATTATCGTGAACTTTTGAATTTGACAATTCAAGACAAAAATTGCAGTAAAGTTAAGTTTATGTGATTCTTAGTGGATTTTTGGATCGATGTTTAAATTAAAGGTAAGAATTTTATCGTATTAGGCTACATTCTGTTGTATCTTTTATCCGAGTCGAAAGAAAAAATGGCCGCCATAATTAACAAATTCTAAGTTTCAGGGGCGGAGGAATTTGTTTTCAAGAATTATTTCTTTGAACAAAATCCCCCCTTTTACGAAATTCGCTATTTAAAAGTAGATTATTTTGTTATTTGAAAGTTATTATGTGTTACATGATAAATAGAAAAACATGCTACTGTCTTTTGATATCAATTTTATCAGGCTCGGCTGATATGGGCAGAAAGGGCTCGGCAAGCCTCGCCCTTTCTAGCCCATATCAGTCTCGCCTGATAAAATTGATATCCAAAGACAGTAGCATGTTATTCTCTATATTTATTCCATCCGGGGTCGAATGCCGGATGTTCTCGGATCATCACGGGCGTTGCCGGCAGAGTTACGGATGTAACCCGGTTGTTCTCGGTCGTACCTCGGTCGTTCCCGGATCCCCGGACGTCTACCGGGGCTCTGTCGGGGCTCTGCCGGGATGTCAGTGAGACTGTAGCTTTAGATAATGACTTTAGAACATGCTAGATGTTTTATAATAGAGGAAAGTAGCCTTAAACGTGCAGTAATGTGCATATATAAACAAAGTACAGTCAAACTTCGCTCACTCGAACTTGTAGGGGTTGAAGTTTTTGTTTGACCGAGAATGTGTGATTTTCGCTATATTTCTACTGACGGGTCCATAGATCAGGTTCAGTAGTTCGAGCGATCCTTGGTAGAACAATATATATTTTATAGAGATTTTACCGGGACCAGACGATGAGTTCGAGTGAATGGGGGTATTCCAGCAATCTGTATAAGAAGCTGGTTTTCTTTTGTTTGTAGTTGTCAGCGAGTCGCCTATGACGTTATTGACCCACGTGATGCAAGGTTTCACTATATTTTACTGGAAGAAGAAGCCCTCAAGATCAAACCATGCACGGATGAAAAACTGGCGGCCTCAGCACAGCATTCGTCTCTGTATTTTACAGGCGGGTTTTTTTTGTTATACAGCATCAATGTACCTTTTTTGTTAAAAAATTACCTGAGCTATTATATCAGTGATTATTAACTTATTTTTTTTTTATTATGGATCGGTTCTGAATTAAATTTCACCTATACTTAACTAATTCGAAACATTCCGTAATAAAAAGTTGACACAACGACTAACAAGACAGAGCGACGTTCCCAGAACATTCCCGTTCAATACGGTCACTGTGTTTTGATTTATGAAAGCGTAAGTTCTTCCAATTTCGTCGCCAATGTTATGTCTTCTACTAATCAACTCTAATTCATGATTGTAAATTTTATTCAACTGATCTGAACACATATAAACAAGGATGACGTCGTCTCCAAGTGACGTCGTCGACGTCAAGTAAATCTATAATTTAACAAGTAAAGCTAGCATTAATTTGCCAATATCACAGCTGTGTCATGGTGGTAATGAAATAAAAATAAGATAAAATATAGGTAGGTTTTTGTTTTGGACGGGGCTGTTAGTCATTGTATTGTTGCAAAGAAAATGCTATCGGATAGTAATCGTACTAAATTTACGATATTTTGGATGGACTTTAAGTTTATTGGTGAAACAATGGTTATTCCTGTTTATTAACATCAATATTATTGCAATAGTACACGTGAAGACCGTACATCTTTAATTATTTATAACATGGCCTAAAATAAGAATTCTAAAGAATTTGCGCAAGTCGAACATGTATTTAATATCATTGTAGATCGCGACAAGAAATACAATATTGGTGATGAAGTCCACGTTCTGATTACACTGAAGAACGGTTATAATAAAGAGACAATGACCGGAGGAGATCATTTAAGAGCAACGATAGAGAACAAACATTTGAAGGCATCAGCTCCCTGTGTGGTAACAGACAACATGAATGGTACTCATTCTGTGACGTGTGAAGCATTTTGGTCAGGAACGTCATCAATAAACGTAACTCTTGCTTACACAAGGGAGATAATTGCGAAAATTTACCGCATCAGAACTCAAGTAGGTGTCTTTTACGTGTTATTTTTGTACAGTTTGTTAATATTCAATCGAAAAGATGGCGGGAATTATATACGGTAATAATCTCCGTGCGTCCTTCCGTCCGATGTATAACTCAAAGAGTGTTTAAGAGCTTAACTTTGAATTTTGAGGACATATCTCTTTGAGGAGGAGAGCGGAAAACTTTTCACCTCCTTTCCTTTCATGCATAATTGTGTCCTATATTCAATTTCGTTCAAAAGCATTATCAAAAAATATTAAAGATATCAACTTTGAACTTTAAAGGTAAAGGAATAGTGCAGTGAATAAAAGTGATAACTCTACCTTTCATAATGTTGTAGTTCTTGTCCATACGGATTGAAAAATGAAAACTGTTTGAGATAAGAAGTTATAACTTAGCTTGTATATAGATTTATTGAGAAAAACGTCAGTGCATAAGAATGTTAGCTCGACCTTTCTGTTAATATACTTTGTTATTTTTTCATTCTTAATTCATGTCCGTAGCATAACTTATAAAATATTGAATCTTAATAGTTTATTGTAGGTCTTATTGTATAAGATGGCAATGCACAAGAAAAGTAACATTACCTTTCATACATTTTGAGTTATTGTGTTTTTGTTTGTTTTTTTGTGGGTTTTTTTTTTGTTTGTTATTTTTCATGCTTAAGTTTTGTCCGGAGCATTATTGGAAAAGTATTTGAGATATTAATTAAAATTTCATAGGTACATATATGTATGGTTTTTTTTCTTAGATAGGATACCATTGCATAAGAATGACATCTCGATTTTGCCCGAAACATAACTTGAAAATTAATGTGTATCATCTTGTAATTAGAAATATTTTGATGTGGTAGATTAGAGATTGATAACTCTATCTTTTCATAATATATGAATCGTTATAAGCAAGAAATCACATATATAGGTGGGTATGTATTAAGATGACATTTGTGTCCATCAGGTTACAGTCTAGCCCATACCCAAGATAAAACGCAAAAATATCATATCTCGACATTCTCGACACTCGACATACCTGTTTCCTAATAGATAGAACTGTTGTTATTGTTTCCCACTGCGTTCTTTTAGGCTCATAAAGATAAAACTTCCACACGACAAGATGTCGCAAAACATCGACTGCTTAATAATTACATACTAAACTCTAAATACTTAACACATGAAAAGGTTTTATGTAAAAGTGCTTGTACGGGGTTAGAAGTTAAACTTTGTTTTTTAATAGTATTTCATTGTCAAAAAATGGTGAATATACTTTAAAATAAATTAAAATGGTGAAAAGCATCTCTCAATCCCTTTTCGATTACACTTTTAATGAAATTTAATCAAAGGAAATTACAACCTTATAAAATATTTAATAACAGAAAAAAATACAATAACATAACAAGAACTGTTTTTTATGTCAGGAATTTCATTACATTTTGTTTCATTTTTGGGGTGTTAATTCAAGAAAAAGGTGTTTTTAGTTTAATTTCTTTCATGTCAAAAAATTTGTTTTTTATCTTACATATTAGGGAATTTAATTACCCCTGTTTAAAAAAAAAATAATGGGTTTTAAAAAAAGAAAATTTTTTTCTAGGGTTATACAAGAAAAATTTATGGTCTATTCAAAACGAACTTTTCATAAAGACACGACTTTTTCATCCCAAACCCCTACACATCTTTTAAAATAAAAAAATATAAAAAACTTTTAACCACTTTTATTTACTCGGGTTTGTTTTTATTGCGAAACAAAGAAATGAACATTTGCTGTGCCAAGACTGGGAGCAAGTACGGACACACGAACCTTATCCAGAACTTCAATTAACTCGTTGTGAGGAGAGTTTGTTTAAATGGTATTTCATAGATATTTTATTTTCAAGATTTATACAAGTGGATTTTTACTGGTTTTGTTATAATATTGTTGAAAGAATGTCGAGCAGAATATTTTATGCCGATCTCTATGTCAACTTCATGGACTTAATCATATCGGATGTTTGCATCGAGAAACCTATATCTAAATGGTAATTACATGTAATTGCATGAATAGTAATAGCAAAGTTTTGTCAACTGGTAAATTTGCTAAGGTGGATTGCAGCTGTTTATTTCGTCGGGTTATTTACATGTTATGGGTCATACAAAAATACCAAGATAAGAATATTACCGCCAACAATTTCCGTGCAATCTTTGATCAGTACATCGTGTCAGTCGCAGCATCTTGCTGTCCAATGTAAATCAAAGAAATAAATAAACAGACATTATTTATAAAATGCGCAGATTATTTAAGTGTCCGAAAAATAACAATAACAAATATTTGCGATTCCTGTAATTCCTGGTGATATTTTTACTACGAGATTAACCTGCCAAATATGATAGTTTAACTTAAGTTTTGTGTTTATGTCGATGTCTTAATCTTTATAGTTTCTATCATATTTTTATGTAAAATAGGTTGTATAATTTATTTTAACAAATGAATATGTAGGTTATATGCATTAATATTTGTATAAGGATGAGAAATAAATAAAAATATACTAACAGATATTTATATAAGTGTCATTATATTGTGTTATAGGGGACAACAATCACTGGAACAAACATTACAGGTAACGATAGAAAATGTAGACAAGCCAAGATTAGCTGTTGAAAAGCCATTAATACCGTGTTCACAATACAACATCACACAACTCTGGCAATCGAGGAGACCAACAGGGTATTTCTATAATGGAAAATGGAACTTCACAAATTGTTTAGGTAATGTGAAGAGAACATTGACTAAATTTCTCAGAATAATAAAAATTAACACATTGATACCAATAAATGTCTGAAATAAATACATACAGAATGGTTCTTCTTTATAGTGTATTTGTTTGTGAACAGAAAAATACATGCATATCAAACAATAACATGATGTGCACGCCTATTTAAAAGGCATGATAACTCATTCGTTTAAAATATAATAATATATAATATTTTAAAACGCCTGAAGTTTGCATACAATAAACCACTAATGAACCAAAATAGCAGATTAGTTTTCAAACATACACACTGAAGCCAAATTCTCCATGTTGGACTACCTGAAACATGTTCAATTCTTAAAAAAAAAACACTTTCAATGTGTGCTAATGAATGATATTCAATAGATATATCGTATTCCAGAGTCTTTCCTTAGTCAAGAAGAGTACGACTTAAGTTCAAACATTTGCGCATGCGCATAGAAAACTGATGGGTATTCTCTTACCAAAAATTACTGAATTCAGCAGTAAAGCAGTACAGTACATATCATTTGCAAAATCTGTAAAAAATAAAGCGTCAAATAAATATGAATACTACACATTTTACTTTCTAGATGTGTGCAAAATCTCGTGTAGTTCTAAATGTTTTGTTGTTGTAATTGTTTTCTGTTGTTGCTGGTGATAATGTTGTTTTTCTTTTTTCTTTCTTTCTTTTTTTTTTCGTTTAGGATATTGGAAATACATTCATGACATAACATGACATAAATATTGTGTTAGATCTTTTTACATTTATCTATTAAGTAATACTATTTAAAAGAATAATATTATTTTGCTTGACACTTAATCGTGTCATTATAAATGAAGCATCAAATTCATCTTTTGAGTGAATGATACTTAATATTTATCAAGATAATTTTATCATACGGAGGAGTATATCAACTTAAATGATTTGAGCCGCGTCACGATAAAACCAACGTAATGCGTTTGCGACCAGCATAGATCCAGACCAGCCTGCGGATGGCTCATTTGTTTGTTGTTTTGGATATATTTAATATATGTATATATTTTACAGGTTTCCAGCAAGTTCAATATGTCAAATGTTTAAGGGACATACGCATGTATATGATTGGTGATTCAACTATAAGGGCATGGTATGCTAGTGTCATCAAACGTTTTGAATGTATTCCAACTACAGAAAAATGGGAAAAAGAAAAATGGCACAAAATGGCGGAATGTTATAATAAGAAGATAAATTTCAAAGCAGGGTGGTACCCGCATGCGCAGCCGTTTTATACTGGCAGTGCTTGGGGTGACAACCGATACACGTTATATTCAACGTCTCGCCATCTAGACAATATACCACCAAATGAACGTGCAGTAATAGTTATTCATCTATATATGCATTTTGTAGCATTTCATCATAGCGTGTTTAAGCAAAGAATGGAAATAATACGTCGTAGTATAGAAAAGCTGTTCTCGAGGAATAAACAAGCTATTGTAATGATTAAAGGCCCACACACATTTACAAATACACCCGATGGAAGTGTAAGACTGAGTGATTATTTTGGTTTTGTGTATAACAAAATCATGTATGAGGTATTTCACGGTTTATTTGACCGGATTGTTTTGCTTAATAACAAAGACACTACCATAGCGAGGCATGAGAAATGGAATCATCCGCCAGACGATATTGTAAATTATATGATAGATCAAATGCTAAGTTATACTTGTAAAAGTTAATGTTTTGCATCGATATAGAAATTGCTCAGTGATATAGAATAATACTCACTGAAAGTTATAGGTGTTTTGACATGAAATCTTAGCAATATTACTGTTCTTTTAATATATCATCAAATGCTATGTTGCTGTTATTATTAATGTTACTGTTCTTTAAATATGTCAAATACTAAGTTATATTTGTGAACGTCAGGCATCTTGTATCAAGTTGCAGATCTTTAGTTAAATACATCGAATAAAAGATTTTGCTTACAAATTTGGGATTTTTTGATCAATCTAATACTTTAATTGTATTTTAAAAAGTTACATTTCTTTTGGTACATCAAAAGTTAGAGAAATGAAATGCTAATTCTTTGCATGAATAAACTCAATGAAACCGAGCCTACAACATTTTCAGTTTTGCTGTATGGACGCTCTTTATTAAGTTAAACGTGAGAAGTCATCATAACTCGCCCGAGCCAACCATCCCCCGTTTTTCAGAAAATCAAAATTTTTTTGTAGTTAGAATTAAAGAATTTTCGTAGACTTGTATCCAGTATGGAATATTGGCAACCAGACATTTCGACCCTTCACCTCGTGCCCTTCGCTCATATATTATGACATATCGACCCTGATGAATCATTTTAATACATGTACATGTATTTAAGAAAGTATACATATTATTTATTACATGCATTTGATCAATAAAATGTTTAAATTTGAAATTACAAATGTTCGTTTTACTGTTTCTCATGTATGGCATTTAAAATAAGAAAACAGGCTTTATGTTTAATAATATCTACCAAATGTAATATGCAATATTATCGTTGAAAAATTAAATGAGTTGTCAGTAATCTATGATAAATTTAGATCAGACACATTGCAGGGTTTCATAAGTTCCCGGTAAATTCTCCTATTTGCGAGCATACCGGCTCTGTTTCTATCTTGGCGATATATACACGGTACCCCCCAAAAATGGCACACGATTTTGATTTACATTTTCTTTAACAAATACAGAACAGAACAGAACTAAATTTTGTTCATAACTGTTGCTCTAAATATGGCATACGTTGCATGTAAAACTTCACATAAACAAAAACACAGGTTCGTCAAGGGAAGTAACTCTTGATCAGCTCTAGTAAACGATATACAAGAGTTACTTGTATTACACCATTGTATTTTAAAGAAGAACAAAAATCAGAAGTTTTTTCAGTTATAAATATATTACCATTTTTATATTTACAAATAAATTTACATATACACAAACAGTCTTAACAAGTAACGATGTATCTCAAGTTTTAAACATTTGATACAGCTTGAATAAACATGTACTACTGAAAGATATCAACAGCATTTTTTTTCATTCTGAAAAAGTCATGACTTGAAAATGAATAAAACAAGTTCAATGTAAATGTATTTGTACTGATGTAATATACGTGTATTAATAGTCGACACCTGAAACATACAAGCGGCACAATGCAGAACTTGGGGGAAATGGAAATAAGACAAGAAGAAACGACTGGTTTATAAACGTGTAAAAGGTCACTTTAAATTTCATCAAAATCAGTTATTAAAAATTTAAGTTATCGTAGTGGAAGATCGAACTCGTGACTAGTGGATTTATAGTCTGAGAGTGTTATACCACTTAAACCGGTGCGCCTGTTCAGATTACCTTTTCCCAAATCAGCTTATCAACCTTATAATTTATAACATATACTTATTAGGTATGGAAATTTGAGGAATAAGCCAAATTAATAACATTCGATCTTTAGAAATATAATGGACGGAACTGCAGCAACATATGGATGTGAATATAGGTCTATAGAAATAGGAAAACATAGTTAACATGTGCAAAGTAATATGATCAACACGCAACAAATGCACAAAATTCATATATGACACTCATAAACTAAAACATTAACCATTAAGGGTCTTCGTCATTAGAATAAATACTTTTCATCATTTAAAAATAGGTTTTGAGATCAAATAATACATTTGTTATACATAAAATCCCTGTAATGTTGCGAGGCATTGTTTGGGTTTTTCGGGTAACTTCGGTGGTGCACGTCTTCCTTTAAGAGGCACACGCGGGGGTAGTTTAGGAGGAATATCTTCCTCTTTGTCTCTGGCAATAATATCACTTTTCTCTGAAATGTCACTTGATAATGATGTAAATGATGATGTAGTTGATGATGATGACGTCACTGACGTAAACGATTGCACTGATTTTGATGAGTGAGCAGACGACCGACTTGAACGTGAGGATTTTCTTGACCTATCAGATGCTGACGTTAAATTTCGAATGTCTGAGGGAGTTGATGTTTGTGGGTTTGGTTTTCCTATGACGTCAATTGTGATCATGTTTCCGTCATGATCTTGCGTCTCCCAAACACCGTCGGAGACTGGTTTACAAACGTTCGGAAATAATGGCACTAAACTTCCAACATCTGATACACTGAACTGAAGTTTTACAGCGTCCAGAGGACGTGGATTTGTTTCTCCTTTAAGTTTCTTTAAGGCAAATTGCACATCATAATGGTCACGTGAATGTACGGTGAACATACAGAAATCACTTTTATTAATGTCTGGTTCATAACCTATGATAAGTTTGTAAAACTGAATCATATCGTCCCAACAAACATCACTTGTGAATAACACTATTCTAATGAATTCTTTCCCACAATGCACAAGCCTTACTGCCCATAATGGAAGTTCCTCCGATGTATAAAAGTAGTCCGGACTATTGTAAGGATATGGGTTTATTTTTCCTTGTCCTACTTGCTCAGAATGATGAAATTTCCATGGTGGTTTTTCAAATCGTCTTTTAGCTGATTGAACTCGTTCATATCCAATTGGACCTTCTTCATTAAGGAAAATCATTATGGCAACACTGGGCATGCGCGAGACTCGTTTTGGCTGACAAAACGACTGGTTACAATTTCCGTAGTCAGACTTTTCTTTTATTCGGAATAATCGTAAGTCTGAATCCACCCAATTCAAAACAGGTTGATACATTTCCATCATCGACATGACCTAAAATAAATAAATGAAAAAAAATAACTTCATGCTTACTACTTAGTTAACTTACTAATATATACATACGTTCTTCTCCAGTCTAAAGACACCTTTATATATTAGAAAAAAATTATACATGTATATATAATTTTAATAGTTTCCGTTGAGAGAAGATACCTTTATATATTATAAAAAATTTATACATGTATATAACGTTTAAATAGTTTCCGTTGAACTATAAAGAAAAAATGAAATGATTAAATTAAAAATTATTATTCAAAATACAATTGAGATTTCAAAGTATGAAAATGATAAAGAATCAATTAAGCTTACAAACCTCGTGTCCATCAACAAGAAACTGTAACTGAAGTTTGTAGGGGTCGCTCGTCACCATGATGGAGTCTGAATCTGAACTCAGTGAACTTGAGTTGACACTAACGGTGTCTGCAGATCTGATAGAGCTCAAAGAAGACAGACTGCAACCTGAAATGAGAAACACAACTAATAAACGATGGTAATTCATTCAGCTTTATAATTAAGATTTTACGTAATGTCGCTTTATCAAACAACATAAAGTAAGTCTTATCTTAATTTTTCAGACAACATATTTTATATAAAGAAATTGAATTTATTTATTTTTGTGTAGTTTTTGTTTCCGAATGCATTTACGCAAACGCGGTTAGTGGAATTAGCATCAGTTATTTGCTGTTCTTTGCATGTAAGTTATGCTTTAGAATAAGACAACCAGATGACCTATCAATTGAATACACTGTTATCCCATTTGCGTCAGTGTTTCCAAATTATAACATCGAGATTTAAAAAACGAAACTTTTTCAACGGCATTATTTAAGCAGATATGCTATTCATCCTTGAATTAGTCATCCACTCGGCAGCGTGCGTTACTAGCGGTATTATCAGTTCAGCGAGATCAGGTAATTAATTAATTTGAAGATGAATAATTGAAAGTAACTCGGGAATGACGAGAGACATTACAATAATCAAATGACAAACATAACCTCCATAGCTGCCTTCAAATCCATATATCAGGTCCATTTCATTGATTAAAGTACGGCGTTAGAATAAGACACTGTTGCGTCAATCAAATCTTCCAATTTTTTTATTAACGTGCAAACGAGCATTTGGTCATGAATAAGTAATTAGAAATGAAAAATGACTGCCGGTGTTGAAACAAGAAATCATGCCCAAACAATACACGACGTATTTAACCCAAACATTTTGTGATGTATGGATGATCTTATTAAGTTAATACGTTATGCTCTCTACCACATTGTCCTGCTCTACTTGACGTCTTTTTTATATATTGATCTGAACTCCGGGTATCTGGCAGGGTTCAACAATTAATCGTACACTTTTTATATTATCAAATGGATTTTATTTCATTGATAAGTCTGATCATTTAAAGCTTAACAATGCATACCTAGACACACAATGCTGACGCACAAGAATGTTCAGTGTACCCGTCATGAAATCATTGTGTTTCTTAAATACTGAAATAATTCAAATTGGTTATAATGTTTAAATAGCTTAACAGCTGACAAGTTGGTTAATTGTCGTTTTCTAACGCAATATCAATTGATGAAATATTTGATTAAGAGTCCAAAAATAGACATTGAAACAAAACTCGATAGTCTAAGACTTAACCATCCTGTTACTTAAATACGATTCGCGGGAAAAAGGTTTTAACTCCAAACACGATGCAAGAGACGCATCCCCCTTTAAAAATTCTGTAGTTTTCATCTACAGCAAAGAAGAATCCATTTAAATGAAAAGATAAGAGTTGATTTTGCAATTCTTCATTTGCAATTCTTTAACAATAGTCATTCAAATAAAAAATGCATTTTGCTTCACTGATTCAAACGTATTGGTATACATATATTTTACGTTTGGTTGGGTTTCGTTTACCCAGGTGTGAAATTGCTGTAATCTTGGTATATTAATTTTTTGCATGATTGAATTTGCTTTTATGAGAAAGTAAATTAGTAAAATTATCATATTTTTGTCAGAATAATTACATTAATCGTAATAAACCTAGCCTAAGACATCCTTTGTAAAATGGCACACCGTGAATTAGTCTTATAAGATATAGAAGTTATTCTTTTTTCCAGATGATATTTAAAGGTACTATATAACGATCGTTTCGTATAGTAAGCGAATGCAAGGAAATAAAGAAAGCAGTAATATATATATATATATATATATATATATATATATATATATATATATATATATATATATATATATATATATATATATATATATATATATATATATATATATATATATATATATATATATATATATATATATATATGCATATGTGAGAATAATATATATGTATATATGTGAGAAAGAACGATAAGTATATCCATGTAAAAAAAACTGAAAATTAATTATACGACTGCCATCGTGTAATAACTGTGTCATAAATATGTGACTGTGTGAAATGCAATATTAGGCAATATTTAAAGCTTGAACAATCCTAAATGTACCTGGTTATGCCCGTGCAGATGGTAATCTTCCGGTGGTGAGGGTAAACAAACCTGAGCCTATACTCATTGTGAAGCCGAGGTTATCTGCCAAGTTCATACAAATATTCTGTACATATAATTAAAACTCTCTAAACATAACAAACATATATTATATATACATGTACTTACGGTCAAACGAAGATGAACCGGATGATGATGAACATGATGCTGATGTTGACAAACTTCCCCGTCTTGATCTGAAAAAATTATAGAATTTTGATTGAAAGAAAATAGCATTTTTTATTGAAAAAGAAGGTATACCTCCACTTGAAAATTTTTCGTTAATAGCACACATATTTGTAGGAAAACGTGTTTTATTGTGCCGATTATTTATTCCATTAAACCGTCAAAAACATTAATATATTTAAACTTTATACATAAATTTAGTTCTGTTTGCTAGTTTTTTCTTTTTTGTTAAGAATTTTACAAAACTGTATACTTTTTTAATATTTATAAACATGTGGATACACACTCTGTAAAATCCTTTCATAGGCTTTCAAAATCATTCTATATTTTAAAAAATATATTCCAATATTATACTGATGAAAACTTTTTTAAAACTGCGCACTAAATCATGAAGTTTCACATTTTTTGGAGAGTATTTTCTTTATTTTTGACAGTATCTACAATGCAATCTAAAACAATATTACATACAGGCGTCCGTCACACAATGTAAAACTGTACAAAACAGCGATAAACCATTAAGACTAGAAATAATTAATATAACAAAATCCCAAATAGAGTCGTGTCCGCTTGATAGACTACGAATAGCATGGTTATGTTAAATTTGTGAAACACTTCGTTTTGACTGAGATTTATTTATTTAACAAGATGGTATTGTTTATACTTGGATTAAAGCATGAAAAATGTTTATTCAAATGTTCAAAGGTTTTAGCGGAACGGTTAAGACATTGTAATGTATATATTTAGCTGGTATGCACGGCGTTAGGTAAAATTACGTCGTATATTGTAGTTGGTAGTGCCTCTTTATGAAAAGAACAGAACAGAACAGAAAAAGTTTATTCAACAATATCGAATTGAGCATACGTTACTCTTCCATACATGCAACACATATAAACATGGCACCGATATCTTGTCATATCCCAAATTTAAGATTTTTGTTCAATTCTATCTTAAATGAAATTAATCTATTGTTGTTGTTGTAGTTGTTCATAGGTCTTTCAACGCGTATGGGCTTTATTTTGTGTACCGTATGGCAACTCTTTCATTGTTTATCTGATGCATTACATCAGAATAGAATAATTCTTAAAATACAAATTCCTGTCAAGTCAATAAAACTATTGTGAAAGATATCAATCCATCGAAACCGGTGAATAAAGTGATCAATACAATAAAACATTTTTCCCGAAAGCTGACTTTTGTATTTTTACAAATTGAGTCATTTGTTTTATTTATGATATAACCATTACATTTATCTTTTTTAATTTTAATTTATCCTTGTTTTTATTCTCCCTGTCCAAAACACCCGTGATAAGTGCATAGTGTAAGCTATCTAACCCAGTTTTCATTTTTCGAGTCCAACAAATCCATATGAAATGTTCTTAGTACAATATAGGTTTGACGGCTGTATACTCGTCCAATAGAATTCAGTATTGTACACAACAATGCATATCAACCGTATTCATTGTAATAACAAATTACAACTCATGTTAGATTCTATATTTATGTAGCATACGTACTGAGATTTTAGACTACGTATTGTACAATCGGCACCTCGCAGATATTTTTGGTTATTTAAATAGGTAGATTAAATAATGTTAAATTGGCGAACTTGTTATATATACAAGACATAACTTTATTTCAATGATCTCAAATGTGTTATGAAATTACATACGTTTACCGTGTCTTTAGAGTAATTGAGAACAGTAATGAATGAATTTAGTAATTTAATACACGGCAAATATTATAATGGAATCTATAACTTAGAAGTGAATTTGATATTATTTAGGTAACAGTCTAATAAGGGGTGAGAGAAAAATATTACTATGATATTGAAAGTTTCTATAGGAATTCGCAATGTATAAGATGGAAAACATATAAAGTTTTACAAGAAGTTTGTGCATAAGATCTGTCTTTCTAAAGGACGCTGGGCAAACATCATCTGATTCTAGTTAAACAAGTTTGTGACATTGTCAACATGGCTTTCCTTTTATTGTTATATTGGCAAATGTCTCAGAGGTCTAGTAATCAATGTTAACTATACTTCATAACATAATAACAGCTACACCGGGTGATACTTGTACTTGTATTGTATTGTATTATATTGTATTTATTGTATTTATTGTTTTGTATTGTATTGCACTGCATTGTTATTGTAAATGTTAATGTTATTGTATTGTATTGCATTGTATTGTATTGCATTGTATTGTATTGTATTGTATTGTATTGTATTGTATTGCATTGCATTGCATTGCATTGCATTGCATTGCATTGCATTGCATTGCATTGCACTGCACTGCACTGCACTGCACTGCACTGCATTGCATTGCATTGTAAATTCCATTGATCATTTACAAATATTAAGACTTGTGCCTTAATTTCAAAATTCGTGACCAGAAATGAAAATAAAAGTTTTTTTGTTTTTTTTGTGTGTTTTTTTTTTTCAAAATGAATTCGTTTAAAATTTTGAAGCGTTGACTCAAAAGCATATATTCCTGAAAATTGGCATTTTCCAATTCAAAAATTATTATATTTATTATAATTATTAAACCATGACGCCAGTATATTTACATCTTGGTAAAGAATTAAATGTAAGATTTTATCAAAGAATTCATTGTAATTTAGATCTTAGGCTTCGGTTGCTTTTAATTATGATAAAATAAAACACAGGACTAATCTTTGTATTTTAACTTACGCATGAAAACACCGGGGTATCTTTTTTTTCAAAGAAACATCTTCCTTTCTTAAAATACTTATCAATATAAAAACAGTTGTAAAAATGTCTGTCGTTTTGTTTTTACCCCTGTAGCAATTTTGTTCAGTATATTCCTTTTAGATCTTTGCCTTGTAAAAATCGATACAAAGTGATTGAAATCGAATCTACAATTAACAGGTCTGTTGGGAATTCAATATGCTTGATTAAAATAGAGATAAATTGAGCGGTTTTCAACCAGTTACTTTACACGAATAAAAATCTTTGTAAACTGTTTGTCAAAAATTGAAGGGTATGACAATTTAGATAATTTGATAAGTTGCTGATTTTAGTAGATTGTTTTGTAAAATATATCGCAACTTTGAAATTGAAAGCGATTACAACGATTAGGTATTGATAGTTTATCAGTGAACACACGGGTGTTCTGTCAACCAACAATAGATTTTGTTTGCCCGATTGTACTTTTAGGGAAATACCATGTACAAAGGATTCTCTGTTGAGTTAGAAATCTATTGTTTTAGTTTAATGAGAGATTGTTCAGTGATTTCACTAGTTAACTAGCTTGCGTTCTTATATATAGAACAGAATAGAACAGAAAAAGAAATCAAGCAGTACTAAAATGAATGAATAAATGGATGAAAGATCTACTGTTGTTGTTGTTGCTGTTGCTAAAGAGAGTAAAAAACGCGCTTTCTTATGTGTGAATAAAGATTGAAGATAGAAATTTTGATGAAATGTTCATATATTTAATTTGAAACACAACATTATGTGTTTATCATCCTAAAAAATTTAAATGCTTTTATTACGTACTTGTTAAATATCATATTACATGTAACAAGCATAAAATAACAAGATAATGTATAGCATAAAATAACAAGATAATGTATAGCATAAAATAACAAGATAATGTATAGCATAAAATAACAAGATAATGTATAGCATAAAATAACAAGATAATGTAAAGCATAAAATAACAAGATAATGTATAGCATAAAATAACAAGATAATGTAAAGCATAAAATAAAGTAGCGTATAGCATAAAATAACAAGATAATGTAAAGCATAAAATAACAAGATAATGTATAGCATAAAATAACAAGATAAATTCTAGTACGGTCTGTTGTGACAGATATGTTGCTGCACACTTTGAAATTTAAGTTGAAGACTTAAGACCTAGTCAATACAATATCTTCAGTCGTCTTAAATCTTAATATTTAATTTGTGTGTCTAAGTCAAATATTTACACTACACATTTTTTAATCTATTACAGGCCGAATCAGTTAACCTAGATGTACGTTTAGACTTTTTGTTGTTGTTTTCTCTCTCTCTCTCTCTCTCTCTGTTTTTATTGTCATTTAAATACCTAATTTCACTTAAATGTCAAAAACATATACTCTTTATATATATATATACTATTTATATATATATTATTTAGACTTTATGTAAGTGAAAAGAAAGAAAAGAACTATTTGAGAAAAATATGCGCCTGCATTAGAAGACGGAAAAAGGGGCGCAATGGTCTAATGTTAAAGGTGTCTGTTTATTCAACCCAATGAATCATGGGTTTGAGCCCATCCAGGACCGCCATCATACATTTACCTTCACTATGTATATAGTACTGGATAGTTCCAGGAAGCAAACTCAACAGTAGTTCAAGTACATGTAGGAGATTTTCCGGAAAATTTTGAAACAGCCCATTTTTATTTTTTCGTTTTTTATATGTATAGTCTTGCTTTTTATTCAAATGATAGAAAAATATGAATAAATAACTACAAGATATCGATCTTGACCAATATGAATAATTATGTTAAAAGTAAACTACATGTTTACCTGTAATCCCAGAAAGGAAAACTATCGTTATATGTAAGTTCAGCTTTCAGCTTCGATCGCTGTGAGTTCTGTTCGTAAATTCTTTTCAGATAGGTCTCCATAGCTTCTTTAGTCTTTTGACTTGAAAATCCGTGTTTGTTATTACACTTTTTCCACTCCGTGTTCTGAATTATCCTGCTTGTTTGTTTTACTATCCAACGTTTTCTCGAATTTGGCAATTGCCAAGCGTTTGTATTTTAAGACCGAATTTCATACTGCTTATTCTTATTCTGAATTTAACAACTTACATATCCAGTTTTTTTCTCAGTTACATTATTTTCATTAAAAAACTATATTTATCCTTTTAAATTTCAGGTTTTGTTAGCACATCTATAATATACACAGTAGTTTCAAACTTTAATGTGCCGACGCTTAATACTCCGTTTATCTCACTATTAAATCTTCCTATCGGAAATATAAATCTAAATTACAACAATTTATTACTTCATTCAATCAATGACACTTAACTTCTATCAAATGCAATAACCATTCACTTTCACTGTTTGTAAAAAATATCAACTCGTATTTAAAAAGAGTTATTTTTATAGATATAGATCCATTTACATACGATCTCTATATTTTATGTAAATATCACACTATGTCAAAACTCTTAAGCAACTTGTAAACAGAAAGCGGTGGAAATATTAAACCAATAATAGCAAACGTCAATACAATACACTGTTTAATAATAATTGTACTATTACATTATTCAACGCTAATCCTTTTAAGTCAATCTCTTAAATCCGTATTTTAAATCTCCAAATTAATCCAATACACCTGTATTGTGATTTACAATTTTTTAATTTCCTAGCTCTTTGTCTTTCTATTTCCAGAGGTTACTAAGTATTTAAAAAAAAACACACGGTTTCTTCCTCTTCCGCCAAATTCGCTAATAATTTCTTTCGCACTGTCCCGACGGTCCCCGACAATTAAATAAACAATGTCACATGTACATCAACTTAAAAGCGACCGAAAGTCAACAGCGAAAGAAGTACATTTCGATATGTTTATTTAATTTATCAATATATATCTTCACTGAAGAACACTGATGCGCCCAAATGATAATGTCAATATTTAAATTGAAACTGTCTGAAAATCCCTTTAAGCCCTTGTTTTAAATCACTTGCCTGTCTATGTGAAGTTGACAAAGTGAGACTTGACCATGTTCTCAAAATCTTGACACAAACATAAGGACCACTGAGAAAACTCAAACTGTTAACAGAACGTGTTAATTAAAATCAATCCCGCGAACTAATTAATCACTCAAACTTTACTCTTCCCATTTCGGAATGATTTTGTTCTTACTTGTTTTCGATAAACAGTGTTGTTTAAAATAAAACAAGTTTGTCACGCTATCGTGTTTAAAAGAAAAGAAAATTAATGTTCCATGACAGTTAAGAAAAGGCAAGATTGATTTTTGTTTTTCAAAATAATGGAATCCGATATGAACAGACACACCCGTATTGTGGACGATTATACATTATCAGTAAATCACCTTATTGGTTTTATGCATTGATCGCTCGGCCATCGCGTTAAGAGATAGTATAACTAGTAGAGTTGGACATCGAAACTTTTGTTTCAATTAAAGTTTTCACCATATAGTGTACAAATATCAGGTAAAATATTGATAACAATCCGTAATTCTGGTATACAACTGAGCTTGAATTAATTTCATCTAACTATTTTGAAGTGCTATGATCTGTTCTATTTTGTTTTGTTCATATAAATATATACTTCACAGAAGAAGGTTATTCAGTAATTAACAATTTCAGTAAGCATGAAAAATCAAATAAAACAAAAGTCAACACTCACATATTTGTTTGTATGAACACATTAGTTTACATGCGTTTAGATTATGTAAACTGTTCAATTTTAATGCCATCTTTTATAATTCCAAATCGAATGTCATTGTATTAAACAAAATAAATGTTCTTTTAATGTATTTTTTCCATGTGTATACATGAAATATGATTATTATATAATTGATATATGATATATTATTAACAAAAATATATGACCTGTCAAAGGCGTTCCCGGGGGTTGTGCAATTCTTTACAATGGCAGGGAAGAAAATTTAAACTAGCACTTTATTAACCCACGTCTTTAATTACAGAGAATCATTAACACTTATTTTTTCACTCAGAAGGCAAACGTTATACTGAAAGCAACCGCTTTACACACGGCCATATAATTATAACGAATTCATTACAAAGCAAATTAGTCGTATTTGAGGAAATCTATAATTTCTGAATGGCAAGAACTTTTTGTATCGCACGATAATCAAATGAAAAGCCCGGTAACCAAAAACTATAGGTACTTCTATAAGTAAATTATGTGAAATTGACGGAATGGAAAAAATGAACACGTGGAATGTCTTTGCATACATGTATCTGAAAGTTCTTTAAGATTTCATGTCTTTTAATATGACTATTGTTTTAATTAATTAATTTTTCTTTCTTATCCTTTTTTATTGAAATTTCAAAGGGTATGACTATTTATACAAGTATATTATATAAACCTAATATTGAAAACTTCTCACTACCAAATAATCTTGTATAAATATTTAAAAAAAAACAAAAAACAAAAAAACCTGCAACACTCGAGAGTTTATTTAATATGTTCATGCTAAGTTTTTTAATTAATTGACTGACTATAGTTTAGCAAATTAATCACTTTTATGTGTAAGGTATCAAATAGCGTGTCATGTTTGGTTTGAGCATACGTAAATTTGGGTTTTTGACTTTCTGAAGGGAAGGTTGGGATAAACATGGTTCTGGTGTTATAGTGACAGGATCCAGCAGAAGGTTATATTCTGATAAATTAAATGCCTTAAATACAGGTCCAAAGGCAATTTATTGATGAAAACTCACTCCAATATAATTTCACATTTTATTTTTATTTGATATTTTATAAAAAAATATATAATTATGCATTTATAAAATCTGTAATTTAAAACGCTCATTTGAATTTGCCACGGCGGGCGTGGCACAATGACGTTATATTACGTCACTTCCTTTGTTTTGTCAGACTGTATGTATAATATAATAAATGCTGCTGAAGAAGGCCGAAAGGCCAAAAGCTACGGCAAATTCAAATTAGCGTTTTACATTTTATACATTTGTATATATATTCATTTTGCAACTAAAACAAATTAATTTCCATGAACAAATTTAAAGCCGGATAATTGTAAATGCCTGCACAGTATTTATTAGTGTTATAAGGCTATAAGCGATACATTGATAAATCAAACAGACTTTTTGTTGAAAAATACAATATATTGTTCCCGGGTAATAAATAACCCTTTATGCAATTTGTAACATATTTCCCGAAAACTGTAACTAGCACCAATAAATGTATTTGAGGAATCAGTCATACATTTAAGATACTGCATCTACATGTACCAATATCACGTGTAGATTCGACAAATCTCGTCGTTTATCGTACCTTGTCATATGGACGCACTATTTTGGCACGGAAAAGGACGAAATATGACGAATTTTCACGGTCATATTATTAATGAATTAGCTAGATCAAGTCTCTCTGACTCGGTATTGTGAGTCATCATAAAGACTGTATATATTTACAGGTACAAAAAATGTTACAATTTCGTTACTTGCTGTATCAATAAATATAAAAGAAGTCGTATGCAAACATGTAAACAATTTTATCGTTTGTCTATGAAAAAAATAATGTTATCAGTTCGTTTGTTGTTTTTGTTTCTTCTTTGCTTTTGTTGTTTTATTTTTATCTATAAAATATATGTTTTTAATAACATTGTCCGATTATTCAAAACGTATTATAAGGTTGTTGCAAATGGCGTCAACATATTGATACAGCACTGCAACGATTCGTAAACAAAGGGCAACAACTCCGAGATTTTCGTATTTCTTTAAATGCACGCATTCATTCCCTTGTTTCGAATAATGCATGAAAAAATGATGACTATATTCAAATCAATATTATATACAAATAAGAATTTAAAATCATAAACTGTTACAATATATTATATGAATATAGAAAAGATATGATATGCTATGCTATGAACATCTTTGGTGGTTTGTATGTAAGCAATAAAATTTAAACTATTCGGGAACATTTTTATGTTGGCTGTTTATTAAGATTATAACACGTTGCTGTCTAATTTGTAAAATTACATATCAGATGGAAGCAATATTAATTTCTATAAAGAATATCAAACGTGAAATTTAACGAACCCTACGTGCTGTTTTTCGCCGTATCTATATCACGTTACGTCATTCAAATGCTTATAAAGGCATATAACCAATGCAAACAAGTGTTTTTTGTTGTTTTTCAATCCTTGCATATGATCTGTAACAGTGTTATAGTTGGCGTTATAAAATAAAAAAAAAACTATCAACGTCGCTGCTGATTACTTAACAAAATGTCTTGAAATATCTCAGAAAAAATACTGCTCTTTCAAGGTGCATGTATTGTAATGTAAGTTTAAGCTATCTTCTGTTTGAACAAAACACTGATACTATGAAGGTTTTTCATCTTGAACGACTAACAAAAATTATGAAACAAACAATAACCAAAGATGTGCATAACATGCACTTTAGATCACACTTAAACATTACATATCTAAATATTTTCTTAGTAAAGAAGCACTGTAAAAAGCGCGCCAAGCAGAAGAACGCTGATGGACGCTACAGCAGACGACACGCCATTGCACGCATCTGTACTGAATGTATCCTTGCCGTTCTTTTCCATGTTCACTGCCAACATGTACCAAACTGAACCTTTACCACACTCAAATTTTGCCGCACAATCTCTTCTCCTGGAGTAAACAAATACATATACAAAATAGTTTTTACATCATGGGGAGTAAAACCTGGACCATGTATTGGTTTTTCTCTTTCTTCTTCTTTTTTTTTGTCTCTCGCAGATCACAAAAAACTCACGTGGTATAGACACCGTGATAACGTATATCCATGTGTTCACACAATAATTTCCAAAAAGAAACAAACAAAAGGGGGAAAAAAAGATAAACAGTGCATATTATCATGTTGTTTTTTTTGTTGTTCACTAAGCCCTATTACACGTACTACTTGTGTCACGAGTGAAGATTATTCTCCTTTTTTTTCGAAAGTTTTTAACCCAAGTTATAGGCTTAGACAAAAGTTTCCAGAATAGATTTACTTACTCGCAAGCGCGATCCTCACCCGATTTGTCTGCCTCCATAATACAGTTTTTGAAAGTGTCCGTCTTGGACTGCTCCACAGCACATGTGAAATTTGCTGTGAAAATTTAATTATATATCAGATTCAATAATTCAACTTTATAATAAATCTCTGCTTTTAATGATCATGAAACATGCAAGAATTCTAACGTGTTTAAGCTGTCTAAATCTAATGTATTATATTCATCGTAGTTTTCTTCGTATCAGATTTACATTACTGGAGACAACACCTTAACATATATAATGTACCATGTGATCGTTTGAGCCATATATTGACACACGCTATGTATCTAAATAACTTTATAAAGTACATACAATAAAATGAAAAAAATATATTTACCGTTATTCAGTTTACTGCATTCATTTTCAACAAAGTTTTGCATAAGTTTGACGTTGTTATCATTCAGTAATTCAGCATATTTCCAAACCTGCGGACACATCCCGATGTCCTTTGACACAGTACGAACAGCCCCTTTGCTGTAAAAAATCAACACAATAAATACAAACTACATGTATATGAAAAAGTAACAAGATATTTTTTGTTCAGAGAAACCATTTTTACATTGTCTCTTCTATCTGCATTAGACACGTACGTGACATTAGACACGTGACATTAGACACGTGACATCAAACTTCCAGTCATATATTTGAAACTTATGATCCTATAGCTAATGAGATATCTATATTAGATCTAAAAACACTAAAGTTATGGTGTTTCCATACTTTTAGAAGGGATGTAACAGATGACACTCCATCTGCTGAACTTTTTTCTGAACTCCGCTGGATGACCTTTTCACAGAGGGTTGTTTTTCAAAAAGCTATTATGATGTTTAAAATAATGAATAATCAGGCGCCTTCCTATTTATTGAATAATTTCATTTTATCGTCAGATGTTCATACTCGCATTTTGCGTTCATCATCTGATTTTCAACTTTATACCCCTAGACCAAATACTGAACAATTTCGTAAGTCTTTTGTTTATTCTGGATCTTGTATTTGGAACGGCCTTCCTGATTATATTAAGTCTGCTACATCTGTGAACCATTTTAAAACCTTATACTTGAGGTATTATCACACATTGATGTATACAAATTGATAATCTCCTGTATGTTTTTACATTTATGTATTTTAATAGTTTGAATATGTTAAATTTATATTGTTCCTTGTTGAGGGCCTCATGGAAGATTGATATGTTTGTTCAAATGAGTTCTCTCGTTAAATAAAGTCTTTATTATTATTATTATTATTATTATTATTATTATTATTATTATTATTATTATAATGTCTCTGCTATTTAACACATATGAATATTGTATGTAAAACAGAATTGAGTGCACCATCGGAATACAATATTGTGTTTCAGTATACCAGAAAATAATAAAATGACATACTAGAATAACTGAGATATGTTTAGATAAAATATACATTATGTATTTGTATAACAGATTCTGAGGTATACTAAAATGGCATACTTGTATTATAGACACATATTAAAATAGCAAACACGTATAATATACAGATATTTAAATGATAATCTAGAAAAACACTAAAATGTTGTTTAGCATAACAGAAACATAGCTATGACATAATTGAATAACAGAAATTAAATATAATTGAATGACATACAAGTGTAAAGAAATATGGTCAAGTGATAAACTTGTAATATAAAAACATACTTAAATGATATACTTGTTAACAATGACATACTTTTGTATAGAAACATAATAAACTTGCGTACTTGTGTATAACAAAACCATACTAAAATTCAATACTTGTGTAACACAATTGTACTTATATAACATACTTATATAACAGAAACATTCTCAAATAACATACATAAATGACCTTTAAATTTTCAACATTTTATTAAACTACCTACATCACTGCCTATACTTCATCAGTATTTAAGAGTATCTGCGGCCGATTGGAAAAAAAGACAATGACTTCAAACCTCTCGACACAATGGGTTCGAATCTCTCCTTTTCATGTGATGAAGCTTTAGATCTACCTAACGGCAGGTCGAAGGTTCTAATCGGGTGCCCCTCGTGCTTAAAATCATTCACAAGATGGTACAAGAGGTATCCTCACACCAATAAAGCAGAAAAATCACATTATCATTGCAAGTGTGACTATAAATAAACTACTTACGCGGTGTCATCTGAACACAAAGCTGAAACTTGTATGAAAGGATATTTAGCTCCCGTCGGGCTGCTTCTTAACGTATTTGTGAACATGTTCATTGCGTTTGCCATTATAAGGGCTTGTTTACATCCTTGAGAATAGAAAATGAACTCAAAGTTTATGTTCATATTGTAACATTTAAAGTAAAAAAAAATAGCCTGTTTACATTCTCTTAAAATGTGTATGTCTCTTCGCCTCTAAAGATTGGCATTTATGGACATAATTGACCTAATCATAAATATTCAGATTAAAGCTGAGAACAAACTACACAGGAAAAATGCACCACATGTTAAACGTATGTGAAACACTTGTATTAGAAACATATGGTGTGTCAAGAAAGATACCCCGTATGTTTTACATACGGTGCAGACACATGTTTTTCATATGTTTTTCATTGTTTATCCAAGAAACGCACACTCTATGTTATATATATGGTAAAGACTTATGTTTGTCACATATGGATACTCATTAATATTCATGTTTTTCATTGCAAATGGTTTATTTTGTTCCAGAGAGATTGCTTGCACTTGATAATTCATAAGAATTTAGTGTTCAACATAATTTGCCGACAAATGAAATCGCTCCAATTTTCAGAAAATGCCCTTCTGTATCGTAAAGACTACGGAATGCCGTTAGGGCCATTGCCTATGAATGTGTTGATCTGAAACGCGATAGTCGATAGTACGATGGTGAAAACGCGAAATCACGAAACTACGATGGTGAAAATGCGAAAGCACGATGATGAAAACGCGAAAGTACGATGATGAAAACGCGATTGTACGATACTACGATGATGAAAGCGCGATAAACTATCGTGTTTTCACCATCGTACTGTCGCGTTTTCACCATCGTAGTTTCGTGATTTCGCGTTTTCATCATCGTACTGTCGTGTTTTCATCATCGTACTATCGCGTTTTCACCATCGTACTATCGCGTTTTCACCATTGTACTATCGCGTTTTCATCATCGTACTGTCGTGTTTTCATCATCGTACTTTCGCGTTTTCACCATCGTACTGTCGTGATTTCATCATCGTACTTTCGCGTTTTCATCATCGTACTATCGCGTTTTCACCATCGTAGTTTCGTGATTTCGTGTTTTCACCATCGTACTATCGACTATCGCGTTTCAGATTAACACATTCATAGGCGATGGCCCTAACGGCATTCCGGAATGCCGTTAGGGCCATCGCCTATGAATGGTTTGATATGAAACGCGATACTCGACAGTACGATGATGAAAACACGAAATCACGAAACTACGATGGTGAAAACGCAACAGTACGATGGTGAAAACACGATAGTTTATCGCGTTTTCATCATCGTTGTATTCTACTGTCGCGATTTCATCATCGTAATATCGCGTTTTCATCATCGTGCTTTCGCGTTTTCACCATCGTAGTTTCGTGATTTCGCGTTTTCACCATCGTACTATCGACTATCGCGTTTCAGATCAACACATTCATAGGCGATGGCCCAAACGGCATTCCGTAAAAGACAGGCAAATTATGTCGTTTATTTATTAAGTCGAACACTAAGTCTTAATAATAAAGAGTTTGAAACGAAGTGCGCATGTGTAAACTGAATGTAGTAGCTCCGCCTTGTAAGGGAGACGTGTCATTGGTAAACTTCTAAGCGAGAACGTGGTGATTCAATTAATCAACTACCACTTTAAATGTCGGAATCGTTTTGTTAATAATTCCATGGAGAAAATACAGACAAACACAAAAATTTTGGTCATTTGAACTAACATACAGTATACATAAATCACAAATGAAGGACGATTATTATTTGAACATTGATCAATTAATGGACACAGGCACATGAAGCTCCTTTTACGGGTTATTTCATTATATTTCACATGGAAGTGTCCTAAAACCCTCAGCGACAAATTATACAGAAAACGGGCTAACGTTGAAATAACAAAAATCATTCACATACATTAAATTATTCAGAAAATTGTAAGATTGAAGAAATTCAGTGGTACAGTATAAACACAATGTAAATAATGTGCACTCTGTCACTACCAGCCTTTCCTTTACTTTTTATACATGACTATATGTTATATATAATTATATTGAATGACGTAACTGATAGATGAAATGTCTTCCTTAAACTCCACCCATTGTATTGTAAACAACTTTCTATTCCAGCTTGGCCAAATATGAGGTTGAAAACTAAGTAAGTTATTCTTTCCTAAGTGAACTTTTTAACAAGTAAGAACACAGTCACTTCCTAGCGGTCGCTTCGTTTTGGGTTTTTAATTGTTAAAAAAAAACACTTAATAAACACTAGAATTATTTAAAGGAAGAGAAATTCATGAATAAAAATGAGTGACAGACTATTCTCCCCCTAACCTGTTCCTCACCCTGACGATTCTCTCACAAACCGTTTCCTTCCCTGCATGTTCTCCGCCAAATTTAAAATATGCACAGTTGTCCCTCCAATAAGATATTTATCATTTATTTATTTTCATTTTTTTGTATAAAGGTATTTTATTGTTATTATTTTCTAACATGATAAAAAGTATTGGAAGTGAAGACAACTTTTCCCCCATAGATTAACTACGTTTACAAATTGCACATAGATACATAAACCAAGAATCTTTTAAGAATTTATGTACATTCATGTAGAATCTAATAGATATTGTTCAAAGTGCAAATCTTGCAGAATATATGATTCATATATTTATCGTATGAAAAACACATGAAAGTTCACATATGTTTAACATATAAAAACTTATTCATATGAAACACATGTGATATGGTTCTGTTAAACATAAAAATTATGTTATTTTACATATGAAAAACATATGTACTTGAACACATGTTTTTCAAAACATATGAAACACATTTTTTTTACATATGGAAAACATATGGTGTACCAAATATACAATAAACATGTGGTGCATTTTTACCTGAGCTATAGTTGACGAAATTAGTAAAAGTCATGTTTATTGTTAAATTATTGTTTTGTTTGTTTTGTATCATTTACATGTGATAACAATCATGTCAACTTCAAACGACCCATTTAATCTATGCCAGCTATAGGTTAACAATTTGTAAACATATTCGATAAACAGAAACTTCATTTTAGACATGTACCTAAAGTCTTATATTTTAAGTCAAACTAGAGCCATCATGGCCCTGCACCGTTCAATTGAGAGACATTGCTAGCTCAAACATTATGGTAGTACTCTGGCCTTATATGGAATATTAAACATACCTTCGGTATACAAAAGCGATGTAGATGAAATACAATAGCAGTTTTTGTAGTATAGTATAGCATGAGCTTAAAGGTATATGAGTCGTGGATAAGCTGAAACTCAAAATCCCCGTTATTGTTCATAAATATATAACGAGACATTAAGGATATTGTAATCAATAACTTTGGTAGAATCGCAAGTTGTGGTGAAACGATTGCAATCTTTCACAATATGTAACACGCAGCTGAAAGCTTAAAAAACTAAACTAATACAAAAAAATCACTTAGAACAGAAAGTCCAATAACTGAAATAAATTTAACAAAAATGCAAAGTTAAATACTCTTCAGAACAAGTGAAATTGTATGGCAAAAATTAGCATGTGAGAACAAAGTTTAATGTGAAATAACATTAATTTACCACAAAAATTATCGACGCTAGAAAAACGTTCAAACATGTCCTTGAATGTTAAACCACCAAGGTTAATAGTCGTCAAGTTTGTAGTTTCAATGAGTGCACGACATTGACCAACCAGTGTTTCAATATCTTTAATTTTTTTGTAGGCCCCATCTGTCCTGAAATAATATATGAGCCGCGTCACGACAAAACCAACGTAATGCGTTTGCGACCAGCATGGATCCAGACCAGTCTGCTTACCGCGCATACTGATCAGGATCCATGCTGTTCGCTTACAAGCCTTATTACAAGTAGAGAAACTGATAGCGAGAGCATGGATCTTGATCAAACTGCGCGAATGCGCAGGCTGGTCTGGATCCATGTTGGTCGCAAACGCACTATGTTGGTTTTTTCGTGACGCGGCTCATTTATAATAACATACTATAAAAAATATTGAATATTGAATATTGAATACAGATCTATTGAAACTGTACCCTATAATTAAACATGTATGGAATATAAAAAAAAACACTTATATATTCTTTCCTCAAATTCTTTCATGTACTTTGCATATTTATTTCTTTATTCATCCTATGTACAATGCATAAAATAAGTGTTAATTATATAAGAGAGGAGAAGATTTGAAATGGTAACAAGACTCTTGAGTTGGCCGTTTTAGGCAAATTATCTAAGATTTTGTTCTACTGTCGAATTCAAGAGCAGATAACTCAAAATTAACCATACGAATACATTATGTTTTATTCCGGATTATCTTATTTCATGCAAAGTTGTAATAATTCTACCCATCAGACAATTTGCTTCAAAAATGATGCATACTGAATGAAGATGTCTAGGGAACTGTAGAAAAATCTGTCGCAATGAACAGGAAATAAGATAATAAATTCAAATGTGAAATCTAATTAGATGTTAAAAAAAGAAGGCAATGATTTGGTGTCGTTCAACCTCATCGCCAAGTCACTTACTCTGAAGTATTACAGACAGCTGTCAAAATTTGCGAGGCTTGGCTATTCATGATTGATGCTAGATCTTGTCCTAACCCGTCCACTAGATTATTTACTTCAGTTTTTTTACTTTCAGTGTCACAGGCATGGTTATCAGCAACAACTTGGTTTAAACCTATAAATAGACATAGGAAAACAACAATAAAACACGGAAGAATGCTGTAATATGTTATACAGGATCATCTATACATCAATCTTAAGCTAGAAAGTGTTTTAAACATCTTGGCCAAACCTTAAGGATAGGCTTACTTTGTCGTATCTTGGACTTGGGCTTGACGATAACTTGATGCGCGTACTTGACGTGTCCTTGATGTGAAATGGACTTGTACTTAGTTTGACTGGAGTTTGCTAGGCAAGAATCCTCCGAGGTACAGAAGTTTCATTCGGTCTTGCCCAGCGAAATTCACAAGAGATGAAGTTTAAAATCAATTTATTGTGTGTTTGTTGTTGTTTGCTTCTACTGCTATATTGTTATTTTCACATCACACCGGTAATGTGGCGTCATGCCCAGCTTAGCTGAAAGAGAAAGACTTCTAGTGTCCCTTTGGGCATTATTTCAGTCACATATCGGCATCTGAGTAGAATAATAAAACCTAACATGAAAGACATCAATGTTCCTGACAGGTTCGAACCCACTGCAGTGAGGCGTAGGGGATTTTAAGACGACCACATAGGGAGTCAAAGGCAATTCTCATAAATCGTTGAGGTACTATTTCATGTAATTATTTCACCAAGTACCAGCACTCATCACATAATATCAAACGTAAAAGCATTTCCGTTTCATTGGGTTTATAAAATTAAAGTAACTTAACTTGTTTTGATTTAATTTTAGATAATCATAATCGTTTTAAAGTTTTCCTAATAAAGATAGTTAGCGAAGTGCAACAGAAGATTGTAATAAAATAAGTCAGCGCAATGGAGCGAAATTCGCTAACCCAATGCAACATGAAAGTGTGGGTGTAAGTCACGTGCGGGTGTCATTAAAAACAAAACACCCTCATATTAAGAAAAAAATACTTTTTTTTCTTCTTTCATTCTTTCTTACTTTAAGATATTAAGGCACTAATGGTAGACTAAGTTGAAATATGGGGCTACTGTACCCGGTCTATACAGCTGCCTATAGTTTGTCATTAAACTTATTGTGCTATTAAAGAATCCATCCGTGTCCATATTTGATTTATTGCAAAATCTTACGAAACCCTTTGAGCGTATCAAAAATGCAGCTGTAATAAAACACACTCATTTGCATGCATTAAGTGTATGAGATGACATCTAAAATAAACTCCGTGTTTTTTCAGCCTATGACTAATGCATAAACGATACAAATTCCCTCTCAATGCGAGCATATGCAGATCGCAAGGGACACGTCGCGTACATAAAATTTTACTTACATATATATCCTTGTTTATTTTCATAAGACTGTACTCATAGTTTTAATAAACCTGCAGTTTACCATAAATATAGTATTGCATGGCCGTGCATATATTTTGACGTCATTCGCGTTATACAATTATAGTGTAAAGACGCGCTAAATGTTAGCTCTTTTCTGCAATTGACGTGGACTATATGTTTAATAATTACTTTAATTTATTTCTTCCCCTCACATTTTCTTTTTGAAAACATAGAAAGCGTAAAATAAATAAATTAGAATTTACTAGTTCGCAAAATGACCATAATTATGGGATTGTTAAGCCCTGCGGTTGGAAAAAAACATGCTGTCTTTGGGCATACCGGGCTCCGATCACACATACCCATCTGTCGGCAATTATTTAATTAAGTGTCCGTGAACAGTATCTTGTTTAACATATAACTTGCCTATATATGATGTAACTTGCCTATATATGAAATAACTTGCCTATATAACATATAACTTGCCTATATAACATATAACTTGCCTATATAACATATAACTTGTCTATATAACATATAACTTGCCTATATATGATATAATTTGCATATATATCATATAACTTGTCTATATAACATATAACTTGCCTATATATGATATAATTTGCATATATATCATATAACTTGCCTATATATCATATAACTTGCACATATATCACGGTGAAGTAGTTCGTTCGTTTGAGATTGGACTCATTTCATGATACATGTGTGAGATTCTGTGAACGTTACCATATACATAAAGTTGCATCTGTCACATATGTGTAAATGTAATAATAACATATGCATATATACAAGTCTATACTGGATCAATTGTTTACAAACTGAAATAGGACAATCTGACATAGAAAATACATTTATAGACAGTTATTCACACTCTTCTATGTACAAATGTAATATACAAATGTTTATTGATTTTATTACAGCAGTGCTATTTTACATCATAAATTATATGGTCTTTTTTTCACTAAGATTCACGACAGCATAACAAACTCCTCACTTGGCAGAATTGTAATCACTGCCTTCACAGACGTCACATGATGATGAAAGTCACATGACGTAACGTCGAAATTCGAATGTAAATATCGACCGTTACATAGAAAATCTGACGTCATTTTTCTTTTTCTGTTTTATTTTTAACTTTTTATACCTACGTCCATTATATTTTATCAAAAAATTATCAAAATTATACAAAATAATGAAAAATAAATTAAAAAGCTAAAAAGTATAAATATCCAAATATTGATATTTCAATGTTTGTGATGGCAGAGATCTCTGTACTGATAAGGGGAGATCACTGCGTAGGAGATTGACAGCATAACTGTAACCGTCCGATTGTTCGTCTTTTTCATATAAAAGATTGAGAGAAAAAAAAACTAGTATTCATTATTTCATCCACATTCGTGGTCAGTTAACCTTAACTTGCCTTATTTTTAAAAATGAACATTTTCAGCTTGCATTATTGTTATTTTTCTTTGAAATTTGTATTATTTATTATGATCGTGTAAGTCGACCATTATAGAATAGTTCCTGGCCAGATTACCCGGTTGTGCAGTCTGATATGACTTTATACAGGCTAATTTTTTTGGTTTCAGCAGGTTATAAGTGTTAAGTTGCCGGCTTTTCTTTTCGTCTTTAATCACATACCCGTGCCGATTTTGCCACTCCGTAAAAACGGTATTGCACTGCCGTGCATATATTTTGACGTGACGTCATTTGCGTTATACAAACATAGCGTAAAAGACGCGCTAAATGTTGGCGTTACACTATAGGCGCGTCAATGAAAATGACTCTTTTTCACTTTAAACCCTCTTTCTTTTGGATAAGTGATAAAAAGAATATTATACTTAAGGACAATGAAAACGCACGGTCGGGATAATTGCATTTTTACAAGGAAAATATATTTCTTTTAAAAAAAATTTCACTGTTTCATAAAACCGAATGCATTCCGGTCGTTTAGATACCAAAGTTATGAAAAATGATTGCATTTTAAAGAAGTTATTGCATAATAAAGACAGTACCCAAAAAATCAAAAGTAACACTTTTGGCTAATTGTGATAAGATTACAACAGAAAACGGATTGAACCAATTCATGGTTACTTTATGACATGATCTTTTTTAACTGTTTTTTATTTACTTGTTTTTCACACCTTTCTAGAAATGTTAGACACAAATGAGCAATTAAAATCTTTATGAAAATGAATATTAAACTATGCCAATGGTCAGTTTTAGAAATCGTAAAAGCTCACATTAGAAATTGCATATACATGTCCACACTTTTCCTCTATAAAAGTTGCTAAATTTCAAACACTACTAAAGACTTGCTAGCAAATTGTATGCAATGGTTCTACAAAGAAATAATCGCTTGGTAGATTTAGAACAGATTCAGACTTTCGCACTACACTACCGGCCGAATGGCGTCAGATTCCACAGGCGACTATCCGCACCGTAAGGTCTATGAGGCGACGATGTACATCTGTAAGAGACGCTGATGGAGGACATTGTCTAAGGATCCCCCGACGGTGACATTACGAAAAGACATTTATGAGTGACTTTTTGAATTTTCATTTTGGTTTTTGCCTTTGTTAAGTTTGCATTACTGTGATGAAAAAGTGTGATTTTGAGATTTTCACCTTAGGTTCTTCGATTTACTGGTGTACATTTGATTTTAAACATTTTGAATTATTTTCAATTGTTAAGTTTGCGTTTTGTATTAAAGTTATGATATATATCTAATGGAGTCGCTAGTGTTTTGTTTTCATGTAATATAATGCATATAGAGCGAGCGTGCGTTTTCATTGTCCTTAAGTATATATTCGTGTAATTTCAATACTGCATTTATTGAACTAACCAGAGGCTCGCATAATATAACTTTATTCAACTCGTTTAATAAATTCAGTATTGAATTTACACTCATTCAATATCATCTATATATGGCTTTATTCTTTCAGTAACGATTATATAACTATAAGCCTGAGATAGCCTACCATTAGAATATTAAAGAATTATCTTGTTATTATGTTTTTTATGTCCATTGTACATAATGTATTATGTGATAAACGTACGTGTGATATAATTTTCATGTACTATATCCACAATTAGTGAAAGTACTGAACGCGAAAAGAGTAAAAATGATGCAAATTGTGAATTTAAATTTAGTTTTACGAAAAAAAACAACAAAAAACAAAAAAACAAACAAACTTACACAAAATAGCCACGGATGCAACAGCTAGCCTAAACATCCTCATGAATATCTAATTGTCTGTATATCCTGTCACTGTATATGTTACCCTCCCGAAAGTGATGCTGGTTTAAGGTAGAAAGGCGTTTCGCTACAAAATTTACGGTCTCCTTATTTTAAAGCTACCCTCTCATAGTTAAATGCAAATTTTGTTTATATAACTTTAAGTTGCATTGACTATGCGTCTATATGTTGAGGCAACTTTTCCATAATTTTCAATCAAAGCGATGATCGTGCATGTGTAAGCGGCAGCTAGGTGTTCAAAGTGTTCTGGAATAACAGGATTGATATATAAAAAATTGCAGTTGTGTGGAGCACATGGAGCACATAAGTAATAACCTATTTCGTTCATCAATAGATATATTTTTCAATTTTCAGGGTTGCAAGCCCGTATGACATTTGGACAACGTGTACAGCTGATTAAAAAAAAAATAAATCGGATTCAGTTTTGCATCTTGTTATTTTTTAATAATACTGATTGGAAGACCCTGATTACATGTACCTTTTTGTAAATATCTCCTTTATTGTTTTATGTAATGGATTTTGTTTAAATTAATAGCGTAAATGCCGACAACGAAAGACTTTCCCCGCTTGTGTGCTGTGTCTCTATTTTTCGAACTGATTCATTTTATTCATCCAAACAATCTTCTAGTCTGAAAACATTTTTAAAAATCAGACAATTATCAATAAAAAATAAGATCTGAAGAGGTGCTACTTTAAGCATTTTCCGCCATAAAGTCTCACTGATTCGTCACCCTGGGCTAGTGTTTTAGATAATAACAAATAATTAACCTGCTGCATCGATCGTTCATTTATAAGAAAGAATATTTTCTACGTTTCCTTTCCCTTAGGCATTAGCTTGGGCGATATTCAACCAAGTCTGCACTTTCGCCATTTGATTAAAAATAAGACACATGTTACCCCAGGCCGCAAGGTTAAAAACCTTTTTTTCTGAGTTCTGTCTCAAACTTCATGATTTTCATTGGTCAGTGGTCATTCTTTGGCAATTTCTGACCAATTAAATGCCTGAGATCTGAGTTTGAGCTATGAGAATTTCTTTATAACCTCGGACCCAGGTCAATGATCGACGGAGTCGCTTTAACATTACAACGCCTCAGTGAAGAAAAGTAAGACTAATAGCGGTGTGAAAAATCCATAAAAGTTTATGCGCTGAGTAAAGTTTTTTTTCAAAGTTAACTTGATACATTTATTTTTACTTGTAGTCTGGATTTAATGATGTGGTTTGTCTGTCATATAATCTTATGTTACATATATATTGTTACAAAAAAACAGAACATACACACTTAAGGATAAGGCTATATAGTAAAGCTAAACTTCACCAAAGCAACACGAAATTGCAACATTTTAACGTGTCTTATTTTTCTAAAAGGAGAGGTCACTAGAGTGTACTACTTTCTGTTTTCTAATGTTATGTCAGGAAGCAATGCAGATAGCTTAGTTCTACTCAGTCTGAAATAATGTACAATGTTAGGCACTTTAGGCATTTTTATTCAGTATGGACATAAGACCATTACGGAGTCGGTATGACATTACACATGTTCTTGTTTTTTTTCTCAGTTCTGATAAATCCGGTACAAGACAGTGTTAACCAATGAACTTTCTATATTTGAACAGTCATGTTTCAACTGAAATCATTATCGGACTCAGTCTTATCAATTTAACATCGTTTCCCTATCCCGAGATCAACACAACTACAAAATGTACATTTGTATATTACACCCCATATAGCCCCGTTTTCATATAGATCAAATGCATAGCGTACCTGACATAACCTTGTTTTCATTTTCAGGTTCAAAATATCTATATCAAATGTATATCGTACTCCAGTTAGCCCAATTTTCATTTTCAGGGTCAATTCTTTATATCAATTCCTTATATTATACTTGAAGTAACAAAGTTCTGTCAAAATATCAATCATGAGAATAAAAGAGCCTACGTTTATTAATAAATGATGGTGAGAACAAACTGATTCTATTTTACTTTTACACAGCTGCAAATCTTAATAATATGTCAGACTCAGCAAATGCCTCGTCCAATATAAGATTGACAGTCGTGTACGAGTCCATTATTTATAATTCAATATTGAACTCAGTGTTCAATTATGTTTTTAATTGTTGTATAAGAAAATGAACACGCAATTTGAGTCGCACAAGTACAGAAAGTTCGGTACATGTATTTATTTGCAGGTTACCCTAGTTTAACAACATACATAGATACTGTTCTGTGTGGTCAGCCATGCAGAGAGATATAATAAGATAATTTATAAACGTTTAAATTTTAAATTAAATTCATGCTTTAAATATCTATTCATACAGTATCTCTGTAGATATATTTTTGTCTTCCTGATGTGTATCATATTTCAATGAACAGTTTATTTTTAAACCTGTTGCTAGTCTCTATGAATCATGCGTGCGCATCCTCAAAATTCTGATACCACGAACACTTGTTCAACCGGTATTTTGAACAAAAACGAGTCATGTAGAACAATAAGAATTTATTCGAATAAAATTTCTTTTGCAAAGAAGATGTCCTTACTTCTAGTTTTAATATTTCAAATGCCTTGACACAAATCTTCCCTTTCTCGTCAGTATTTCGCGTTGAATGCGCTTTGGATTCTGCGTACATCCGGCGTTGAAATGTTACAGAAATTGTCGATTAAACTGAAAGTTTCAAACAAATGGAAGTAAGTTTATTGTAGAATCTATTTCATAAATCTATTTTCAATCTTTGTTCTTTTTCCTTTGTACGAAAAATGTATTAAAACGAACTATTTACAGGAAATAGACATTATGGTACTGCGTACAATCTAAAAAAATCAAGATACTGGGTACACTGTTTTGTGTTATTGATTCTGCCTTCACTTCCTTCGAAACAGTTTTTTGTTTGTTTGTTTCATTTTATGCCTTTTCCCAACAGTATTTCAGTCATATAGGCGGGTAGTTTCCTAACCATCGTGCCTGGAGAGTTACACCAGTACTAGACTACCTTCCTCCGTGCTAAACTACCAAAGCATCTCCCGGGGATCGAACCCACGCCAGAGAGGTAACTGGATTAGAAGTCATCGACTCTAACCCCTCGACTACAGAGTCGGTCTTCGAAGCACTCTAAGTTCATAATTTAAGTTCATAATTTGATCAAATTGATAACACTGGCGACAGATAATTAAAATAAGATAAGATTCAAATTCATATACGAAGCGTCATTCCTCTGAGCGCAAGTTTGAATGTCATTTTGAAAATGAGAACAGAAAGAGAAATATTGCTCACAAGTTTCGTATTAACGATCTCTTATTTAGGAGTGTGACAGAGCTTTAATATGCTCTAGCAAACCTTCGTGCATATATAATTTATCAAAATAAACTGTATTCTAAACTAAAAGTTAACTTTCACATTACATCAAGTTGTTAGGAAGTTCGAAATTAATATCATTCTGCGTAGGGCAAAAGCAATAAAGAAAGAATATATTATTTCAGTAATCAACAACTTTATAAACAACTTGATGTAATGTGAAAGATTAACCATATGATAGTTTAGAATAGTTTATTTTGATAAATAATCGTTATAGATGCACAAAAGTTTGCTAGTGCATAATAAAAGCATTGAATTCCCAAATAATTGCCGTGAATACAAAATTTATGGGCAATATTTTTCTTACCATTCTAATTTCTATTCATATGTGTATATAAAGGTCACATGCCGATGTCGCTGGAGAAGGATTTGCTTTGTATTCGGCATACAATTATTTTCTTTATTTACGCAAAAGGAAATCGGTATAAAAGAGTAAACAAATTTAATGAAGAAAATTAAACTGAAATCTTTTTTGAGGATGTACATTTTAAACATTTAAAGGGAGCAAACTTTATATCACAGAATTTGAATCTTATATTTTATATATTAATTACATGTATTTATCTAATTATTCATTTATTATTATTATTATTATTATTATTATTATTATTATTATTATTATTATAATTCTTGATTATCAGTGTTATCCATCGAGAAAGAGAAGAAGGTAGAATCAAATAACACATAACTGTGTAGCAGTATCTGGTTTTTATTTGTTTGGGTCGTCAGACCAAACAAATAATGGTAGCGAAATTTCAGACTAATGCTGTTAATTGCAAATGCCGAAAGTAGTCCGCTTTTTTGAAGCGGTTACTTCCCTTTATATGTAACACTAAGGCCGAAAAATTCAGGGGAGATCACTGCGCAAATAACACATAACAGGCATTAATTTTCAAGCAAAATAATTCCCGAATGGTCGAAGATTTCTAATATTGTTTTATTCTTTATAGATATACATGCTTAAAGTAAGCGCCATGATTATTTACACAAGTTTTAAACAACAGTTAGCGTCGTTACAAACCCTAATTTTTAATAATATGGTTTTCTTCAGGCCGTTAACAAAATAAAGTTATCGTGGCCGAGGGGTTTGCGCGCTCGCTTAGGAAGCCAGAGGTCTGGAGTACAAATCCCAGTTAATGCAATTAATTTTTTTCCCAATTTGTTCAAGTCAAATAAACTTTGGATTGAATATCAGTGTTGCAATTAGTATTATCGCCAATTTACTACAATTAAAACGCTGGAAAGCATTGGTGGCACTATACAAAAACAAATTGTTTTATAATTTCACAAACTTCACCTTTCTGACATTCTGTGACCCAAACAAATTCAGCGCCTTCTGTGCTTTGATTTTAGAGTGTACGCAGTATCATAAATTCTATTTCCTGTAAATAGTTCGTTTAAAGACATTTTCGTACAAAGGGAAAAGAACAAAGATTGAAAATATATTTATATATAGATTCAACAATAAACTAACTTCCGTGTGTCTGAAACTTTCAGTTTAATCGACAATTTCTCAATTTCTGTAACATTTCAACGCTTGTGTACGCAGAATCCAGACTCCAAATAACATTCAACGCGAAATACTGTCGAGAAAGGGAAGACTTGTGTCAAGGCATTTGAAACATTAAAACTAGAAAAAAAGAAAATTGTTTTGTCCAAACAAGAGGGCCATCATCTCACCTGTATATAGGCCCCTGGAGCAGGGCCAGTTTAAACCCAAGGGCTTTTATTTGAACAAACTTTAGACACCCATTAGAAGATGCTTCTTGATGTTAAGTTTTTACTACACACATATAATGAAAAACAATGACCTCTGCCCTCACCCATCCCATCCCCCGGCAGGGCCAATTTTTACCCAAGGGCTTTTTTTTAACAAACTTGGTAGACACCCATAAGAAGATGTTTCATGCTAAACATCTAAGCTCTAGCTCATTGAGTAGATTTTTTAAGTTTTCACTATACACATATAGTTAAAAACAATGACACCCCTGGGGCATGGCCAGTTTTGACCCAAGGGATTTTATTTGAACAAACTTTGTAGACACTTACCAGAAGATGTTTCATGCTTAATATCTAAACTCTAGCTATTTGGGTTTTTTTTCAAAGAAGACGTTTAAGTTTTTGCTATGCACATATAAGGAAAATCAATGACCCCCGGGCGGGGCCAGTTTTGACCCCATGGCTTTTATTTGAACAAACTTGGTAGACACTCACTAGAAGATGTTTCATGTCAAAATCTAAGCTCTAGCTCTTTCGGTTTTTTAAAAGAAGATATTTAAAGTTTTTTCTTTCGGTTGCCATGGCAACCAGAGGTCTGCATGGAATTAAATTCTTTGAACAATTTTTAAAGATGACCACCAAAGGAACATTCCTGTGAAGTTTGGATGAAATTGGCTCAGTGGTTAATGAGGAGATGTCATTTAAAGTAAAAGTTTACGGACGGACGGACGACGGACGGACGGACGGACGCCGGACGAAAAGCGATCACAAAAGCTCACCCTGTCACTTTGTGACAGGTGAGCTAAAAACCGGTTGAATAAATGTTCATTTTGAGGATGCGCACGCATCGTATGACCCCCTTCAAATATGCGAGTTTTTGGAGAAATTAACATCAGTTTTGGGAAGACACACTTGTGGTGTGTCGCGTTTATATTTTAGAGAAGACAACAATCTTGTCTTGAAGGAAGTTTTGTTGATTTGTTGAAGGTGGTTGAATTTAATTGTAGTAACTGATCAGGGTTCATTTGTTGTAATTAATTATTTTGGTTGTTGCATTATATTTGGTTGTTGAGCTATATCTGTTTTGTTGTATTGGGCGATTTTGTCCTGTCAAGATTATTATAGTTGATGCTTTGTTTTTGAAGATATCTGTAAATATCGATTGTTTTAGTTTAAGTTGTTTTATGATGCTGCTTAGATTTGGTGAAGTTAATATTGTTAGGTTAAATGGTTGTGGTGTCCCCTTCCAAATGTTTGTGGTTTTCCCCTTTCAAAATTCCATTTTATTTAGTTCCGCCCATTGTTTTCTCGTTTTTTTTACTTGGGGACCATATGCCGCTTTTCATGGCATGGCACATACGTGTCACATTGAAGGTTCCATGATAACCGCCATATGAACACCATCTGCAGATGTTTCAAAATTGTACCAGTCCATGTTTAATGTTGAATTCTGCTTAAATTGTACAGTTATTGCGACCAATATACAAGTATATTATATAAACCTACTATTGAAGACCTCCCACTACCAAATAATCTTGTATAAATGTTAAAAACCCAACACAACTTGCAACACTCAAGAGTTTATTTAATATGTTCATGCTAAGTTTTTTTGATTAATTGACTGACTATAGTTTAGAAAATTCAACACATTTATGTGTAAGGTATCAAATAGCGCGTCGTGTTTGGTTTGCGCACACGTAAATTTGGGTTCCTGGCTTTCTGAAGGGAAAGTTTCAGCCTTAGTGGGATGAACATGGTTCTGGTGTTATAGTCACAGGATCCAGCAAACGTTTATATTCTGATAATTAAATGCCCAAAGCCAATTTATTGATAAAAGCTCACTCCAATATAATTTCAGATTTTATTTTTATTTGAATTAGATATTCATATTTTATAAAATATATATTTATACATTTGTAAAGTCACTATTTTGTCATATATAATTAAAAACGCTAATTTGAATTTGCCACGGCGGGCGTCGCACAATGACGTTACGTCACTTCCTTGTTTTGACAGATTGTATAATATAATAAATGCTGCTGAAGAAGGCCGAAAGGGCAAAAGCTATAGCAAATTCAAATAAGCGTTTTACATTTTATACATTTGTATATATATTTATTTTGCAACTAAAACACATGAACTTCCGTGATCAAATTTAAAGCCGAATAATTGTAACTGCCTGCACATTATTTATTAGTGTTATAAGGCTATAAGCGGTACATTGATAAAACAAAAGACTTTTTGTTGAAAAAAAAAACAATATATTTTTGTTCCCGGGTAATAACCCTTTATGCAATTTGTAACATATTTCCCGAAAACTGTAACAAGCACGTGCACTTGAGTAATCAGTCATACTGCATCTAAATGTACCAATATCACGTGAAGATTCGACAAATCTCGTCGTTTATCGTACCTTGTCATATGGACGCACTATTTTGGCACGGAAAAGGACGAAATATGACGAATTTTCACGGTCATATTATTGATGAATGAATTAGCTAGATCTGATACATCAAAAGCAAGTCTCTCTGACTCGGTATTGTGAGTCATCATGAAGACAGTATATATTTACAGGTACAAAAAATGTTACAATTTCGTTACTTGCTGTATCAATAAATATGAAAGAAGTCGTATGCAAACATGTAAACAATTTTATCGTTTGTCTATGAAAAAAATAAATTATCAGTTCGTTTGTTGTTTTTGTTTCTTCTTTGCTTTTGTTGTTTTATTTTTATATATAAAATATATGTTTTTAATAACATTGTCCGATTATTCAAAACGTATTATAAGGTTGTTGCAAATGGCGTCCACATATTGATACAGCACTGCAACGATTCGTAAACAAAGGGCAACAACTCCGAGAATTTCGTATTTCTTTAAATGCACGCATTCATTCCCTTGTTTCACATTATGCATGAAAAAATTGATGATTATATAATATTATATACAAATCCGATTTTAAAATCATAAACTGTTACAATATATTATATGAATATAGAAAAGATATGATATGCTATGTTATGAACATCTTTGGTGGTTTGTATGTAAGCAAGAAAATATAAAGCATTTGGGAACATTTTTATGTTGGCTGTTAATTAAGAGTGTAATACCTTGCTGTCTGTTGTGTAAAATTACATATCAGATGGAAGCAATATTAATTTCTATAAAGAATATTCTAACGTAAAATTTAACGAACCCCACGTGCTGTTTTACGCCGTATCTATATCACGTTACGTCATTCAAATGCTTATAAAGGCATAGAACCAATGCAAACATGTGCTTTTTGGTGGTTCAATCATGCATATGATCTGTAACAGTGTTATAGTTGGCGTTATAAAATAAAAAAAAACTATCAATGTCGCTGCTGATTACTTAACAAAATGTCTTGAAATATCTCGGAAAAAATACTGCTCTTTCAAGGTGCATGTATTGTAATGTAAGTTTAAGCTATCTTCTGTTTGAACAAAACACTGATACTATGAAGGTTTTTCATCTTGAATGACTAACAAAAAATAAAATAAAAGGAATAACCAAAGATGTGCATAACATGCACTTTAGATCACACTGAAACATTACATATCTAAATATTTTCTTAGTAAAGAATCACTGTAAAAAGCGCGCCAAGCAGAAGAACGCTGATGGACGCTACAGCAGACGACACGCCATTGCACGCATCTGTACTGAATGTATTCTTGCCGTTCTTTTCCATGTTCACTGCCAACATGTACCAATCTGAACCTTTACCACACTCAAATTTTGCCGCACAATTTCTTCTCCTGGAGTAAACAAAGACATATACAAAATAGTTTTTACATCATGGGGAGTTAAACTGGACCATATCAAATATTGTTGTTTTTCTCTTTCTTTTCTTCTTTTCTTTGCCCCTCGCAGATCACTATCTATACCATATGAGTTTTTTTGTGATCCCATGATAACGTTTATCCATGTGTGCATACAATAACTTCCAAAAAAAAAAAAAAAAAGACAAACAGTGCATATTCTCATATTGTTTTTTTGTTGTTGTTCATTAAGCCCTATTACACATACTTCTTGTGTCACGAGTGAAGATTATTCTCCTTATTTCGAAAGTTTTAAACTCAAGTTATAGGCTAAGGCAAAAGTTTCAAGAGGTAAACGTTAATAAAAGGCTAACTTACTTGCAAGTTTGATCGTCACCCGATTGTTCTGCCTCCATAATACAGTTTTTGAAAGTGTCTGTCTTGGACTGCTCAACAGCACATGTGAAATTTGCTGTGGAAATTTAAGAATATATCGAAGTTTATAGTTCAAACTTTATTATAAATCTCTGCTTTTAATGATCATGAAACATGCAAGAATTCTAACGTGTGTAAGCTGTCTAAATCTAATGTATTATATTCATTGCAATTATCTTCGTATCAGAGACAACACCTTAACGAATATAGTGTACATTTTGATAGTTTGAGCCATATATTGACAAACGTTATGTATGTAAATAACTTTAAAAAGTACATACAATAAAATGAAAAACATATATTTACCGTTATCCAGTTTACTGCATTCATTTTCAACAAATTCTTGCATAAGTTTAACGTTGTTCTCATTCAGTAATTCAGCATATTTCCAAACCTGCGAACACATCTTGAGATCATTTGACACAGTACGAACAGCCCCCTTGCTGTAGAAAATTAACATAATCAATACAAACTATATGAAAAAGTGGCAAGATATTTTTTGTTCAGAGAAAGCATTTTTACATTGTCTCTTCTATCTGCATTAGACACGTGACATTAGACACGTGACATCAAACTTCCAGTCATATATTTGAAAGTTATGATGCTATAGCTAATGAGATATTTATATTAGATTTTAAAACACTACAGTTATGGTGTTTCCATACTTTTAGAAGGGATGTTACATAGAATGTCTCTGCTATTTAATACATATTAATATTGTATGTAAAATAGAATTCAGTGCACCATTGGAACACAATATTGTGTTTCAGTATAATAGAAAATAAAAAGTGACATACTTGAATAACAGAGATATGTTTAGATAAAAAAACTAATATAACAGATTCTGAGGCATTCTAAAATGACAAACTTGTATTATAGACACATATTAAAATAGCAAACAAGTATGATATACACATATTTGAATGATAATCTAGTAAAACACTAAAATGTAACAGAAACATAGCTATGACATAATTGTATAACAGAAATTAAACATACTTGAGTGACATACAAGTGAAAAGAAACTTAGTCAAGTGATATACTTATAAAATAAAAACATACTTAAATGTCATACTTGCTAACAGAGACATACTTTTGTCCAGAAACATAATAAACTTGCGTACTTGTGTATAACAGAATCATACTAAAATAACATACTTTGTGTAACAGAAAAAACATACTTAACTGACTTATTAATGAAACAGGAACATACTAAAATAACATACAAATTTAAGAGAAACATACTGAAATGAATTACTTATGTAACATAAACATTCTAAAATGACACCCTTGTGTAACAGAAACATACTTAAATTACATACTTTGTGTAACAAAAACATACTAAAATGACATGCTTATGTAACACAAATGTACTAAACTGACATATTCATGATGTAACAGAAACATACTGAAATGACATATCTTTGTAACAGAAACATACTAAAATGACATCCTTGTGTGACAGAGACATACTTAATTGACATACTGGTGAAACAAAAATAAACTTAAATTACATACTTTGTGTAACAAAAACATACTAAAATGAGATATGAATGTAACAGAAACATACTAAAATGACAAACTTAGGTAACAGAAACATACTAAAATGAGATATGAATGTAACAGAAACATACTAAAATGACAAACTTAGGTAACAGAAACATACTAAAATGAGATATGAATGTAACAGAAACATACTAAAATGACAAACTTAGGTAACAGAAACATACTTAAATGAGATATGAATGTAACAGAAACATACTAAAATGACAAACTTATGTAACAGAAACATACTAAAATGACATACTTATGTAACAGAAACATACTAAAATGACAAACTTAGGTAACAGAAACATACTAAAATGAGATATGAATGTAACAGAAACATACTTAAAATGAAATACTTATGTAACAGAAACATACTAAAATGACATATCTTCATAATCTACTTATGCGTGGCTATAAATAAACTACTTACACGGTGTCATCTGAACACAAAGCTGAAACTTGTATAAAAGGATATTTAGCTCCCGCCGGGCTGCTTCTTAACGTATTTGTGAACATGTTCATTGCGTTTGCCATTATTAGTGCTTGTTTACATCCTTGAAAATACAATAGAATAGAAAATGAGCTCACAGTTTATGTTCATATTGTAGCATTTTAAGTGAAATATAACCTGTTTACGTTCTCTTAAAAATGTGTATGTCACTTCGTCTCAAAAGACTAGCATTTATGGACATAATTGACCTAATCATAAATATTCAGATTAAATCTGAGAAGAAACGACACAGGTAAAAATGCACCACATGTTAAAAAATACAATACAATAATAATACTATACTAGTTTATTCAACATTAAACATTTTACAATGTTTTTAGCATACAGAGTTTACAGTTACATAAACGTAACTATGTGAAACACTTGTATAAGATATGATAGAAACATATGGTGTCTCCAAGAAAGTACCCGTATGTTTTAGATATGGTGCAGGCAGATGTTTTTCATATGGTAAGAAACATTGTTTCTCCTAGAAAAGCACACCCTATGTTACATATATGGTAAAGAATTTGTTTGTCACATATGGTACACATTCATGTTTTTTCATTGCAAATGGTATATTTTGTTCCAGAGAGATTGTTCATCAGAATTTAACAAGTATTTAGTGTTCAACATCATTTTGGCGACCAATGAAATCGCTGTAATTTTCAGAAAATGCCCTTCTGTATCGTAAAAACAGGCAAATTATGTCACTTATTTATTAAGTCGATCTCTAAGCTAAGTCTTAATAATTAAGAGTTTGAAACAAAGTACGCATGTGTAAACTGAATGTAGTAGCTCCGCCTTATAAAGGCGACGTGTCATGGATAAAATTCTAAGCGAGGAGTTGGGTCAACGTTTCTTCATATACAATCAATCAATGGTCAACAATTTTAGTATCGGAATCGTTTGTGAATAATTCCATGGAGAAAATACAGACAAACATTAACATTTTGGTCATTTTGAACCAATATATACATTAATCACAAATGAAGGACGATTATTATTTGAACATTGATCAATAAATGCACACAGGCACGTGAAGCTCCTTTTACGGTTTATTTAGGTATGTTTCACATGGAAGTGTCTTAAAGCCCTCAGCGACAAATTATAAAGAAAACGGACTAACATGTTCTTTTACACGTGTTTTTAAAAACATAAGAAACACATATGTTTACATATAAAAAACATATTGTGTACCAAACATACAATAAACATGTGGTGCATTTTTACCTGTGTGATCGTATTTGACGAAATTAGTAAAAGTCATAGTATATTTATCATTCAATTAATTTTCTTTTGGTTTTGTTTCATTTACATGTGATAACAATCATGTCAACTTCAAACGACCCATTTAATCTATGTCAGATATAGCTAAAAGGTTAACAGTTTGTAATCATATTTAATAAACAGAAACTTCATTTTAGTCATAAACCTAGTCTTATATTTTTAGTCAAACAAGAGCCATCATGACCCTGCACCGTTTAACTGAGAGACATTGCTAGCTCAAACATTATAGTAGTTATCTGGTCTTATATGGAATATTAAAAATACTTTCGATGTACAAAAGTGATGTAAATGAAATACAGTAGCAGTTTTGTAGTATAGCATGAGCTAAAAAGTATATGACTCGCGGATAAGCTATAACTCAAAATCTCCGTTATTGTTCATAAATGCATAACGAGACATTAAGGATATTGTTATCAATATCTTTGGTAGAATCGCAATTTGTGGTGAAACGCTTGCAATCTTTCACAAAATGTAACACGCAGCTGAAAAGCTTAAAAATTAAACTAATACAAAAAATCACTTAGAACAGAAAGTCGAATAACTGAAATAAACTTAACAAAAATTCAAAGCTAAATACTCTTTAGAACAAGTGAAATTGTATGGCAAAAATAGGCATGTAAGAATAAAGTTTAATGTAAAAAAAAGATTACCACAAAAATTGTCGACGCTATTAAAACGTTCAAACATGTCCTTGAATGTTAAACCACCAAGTTCAACAGTCGCCAACTGTGTAGTTTCAATGAGTGCACGACATTGACCAACCAGTGCTTCAATATCTTTAATTTTTTTGTAGGCCCCATCTGCCCTGAAATAATATATGAGCTGCGTCACGACAAAACCAAAGCATCCGCGCTGTCTGATCAGGACCCATGCTGTTCGCTTACAAAACCTTATTACAAGTAGAGAAACTGATAGCGAACATCATGCATCCTGATCAGACTGCGCGGATGCGCAGGCTTGTCTGGATCCATGCTGATCGCACACGCACTATGTTGGTTTTGTCGTGACGCGGCTCATTTATAATAACCATACTAGATCTATTGAAACTGTTCCCCATAATTACACATGTATGGAATATTATTCTTTCGTCAATTGCTTTCATGTACTTTGCAGATTTATTTCTTTTTTCCTCCTAGTATGTACAATGCATAAAATGAATGCTAAATTAATATCAGATAATTTAAGAGAGGAGAACATTTGAATAGTAACACTCCTAAGTTGGCCGTTTTAGGCTTATAAATTTTAATACACATTATCGAAGATTTTGTTCTTCTGCCAATTTCAAGAGCAGATAACTCAAAATTAAGCATACGAATGCATTATATTTTATTCCGGATTATCTTATTTCGTGCAAAGTTGTAATAATTCTACCCATCAGACAAAATTGCTACGCTTCAAAAATAAGGCATACTGAATGGAGATTTTTAAGGAACTGTAAAGAAATATGTCGCAGTGTCAGCAATTATAACAGGGATTGAGGTAATTCATTCAAATGTGAAACCTCATTAGATGTTAAACAAAGAAGGCAATGATTTGGTGTCGTTCAACCTCATCGCCAAGTCACTTACTCTGCAGCATTACAGACAGCTGTTAAAGTTTGGCTCATTTTTTCAGATTGCGAGGCTTGGCTAGCAATGATTGATGCTAGATCCGTTCCTAACCCGTCCACGAGACTATTTACATCAGCTTTTTTACTTTCGGTGGCACAGGCATGGTCATCAGCAACAACTTGGTTTAAACCTATAAATAGATATAGGAAAACAACAATATGCTGTAATATGATATACATGGCCATCCACACATCAATTTTAAGATTGAAAGCGTTTTAAACATCTTGGTCAAACCTTAAAGGATAGGCTTACTCTGTCGTATCTTGGACGTGCACTTGACTCTAACTTGATGAGCTTAATTGACGTGTCCTTGGTGTGAAATTAACTTGTATTTAGTTGGTGCGAAATTAACTTGTTATTAGTTTGACAGGAGTTTGCTAGGCAAGAAGTTTTCGTTCTGTCTTACCCAGCGAAATTCATAGGAGATGATGTTTAAAATCAATTTATTGTGTTTTTGTTGTTGTTGTTGCTTCTACTGCTGTATTGTTATTTTCACGTCACAACGATATTGTAATGTGGCGTCATGCCCAGCTTTGCTAATAGATGAAGACTTCTAGTGTTCCTGTGGGCATTATTTCAGTCACATATCGGCATCTGAGTAGAATAATGAAACTTCCGTCATGTCTCTAACAGTAATACCAACATGAAAGACACCAATGTTCCTGACAGGTTCGAGCCCAATGCAGTGAGGCGCAGGTGATTTTAAGACGACCACATAGGGCCTTCATGCTTACTTATACAAATTTTTGAGGTACTATTTCATGTAATTATTCAACCAAGTACCGGGACTCATATCACATAATCTCACGTAAAAGCATTTCCGTTTCATTGGGTTTAAATATATGCAATTAAAGTAACTTAACTTGTTTTGATTTAATGCTAGATTATCATTAACGATTTAAAGTTTTCCTAATAAAGATAGTTAGCGAAGTGCAACAGTATATTGTAATAAAATAAATCAGCGCAATGCAGCGAATTTCGTTAACCCAATGCAACATGAAAGTGTGGATGTATGTCACGTGTGGGTGTAATTACGAAACAGAACACCCTCATATTAAGAAATAATTACTTTTTCTCTTCTTTCTTACTTTAAAATATTAAGGCCTAATGTTTCAAGACAGTTTAAAGACTAATGGTAGATTCAGTTGAAATACGGGGCTACAGTACCCGTTCTATACAGCTGCCAATAGTTTGTCATAAAACCTATTGTGCTATTAAAGAACCCATCCGTGTCCATATTTGGTTTATTGCAAAATCTTACGAAACCCTTTGAGCGTATCAAAAAAGCAGCTGTAATTAAACACACTCATGTGCATGCATTAAGTTTTTGAGATGACATCTAACATAAACTCCGTGTTTTTAGCCGGTGACTAATTAATGCATAATTCCCTCTCAATGCGAGCATATATCTTTGAACAGGATAGGGACACGTCGCGTACATAAAACTATCTATCAATTATTTAAAAAAAAACTGTATTAAAAGTTTTAAAAAATCTGCTGTTTATAATTTAGCAATTGTATTATTGTCAACATAGCCGGCTTTGGACAAAATGTATTTTAAAATACTGACTCCAGTAATTGATATCAACTTGGCAGCAATCTCTCCTAATCGGTTAGTTCCCCTGCTCAGAAAAAGGAAAATGACGTAACCGGTGAAAGGGGAGTGTGTCCGACGTAAAAGTATTTAAAATGCTGAGAAGAATTATGAAACAAATTTAAAATTAAGAAGAAGACACAAGCAGTCAACGATCTTAAATTCGCTAACGAGGATAAATTTGGTGTACTTTCGTCGTTTACATCCGCGCAAAATCATGAAATTATAAACCGAATTGATATTACAGTTGCACGTCGGTGTATTTCAAGAAAATCAAACTTGAGAAAAATGATAAGATTTTTAAAAAAGTAAAAGGCAGATTTTAGCTAGTGTAAAATACAAAAAAAAATGTTGCTAAGTTCGAAATTAGAAAAGTATAAAGTTTCCTTTTAAAAGGAAAGGCTTTGCTCAGTTGTGCCTTCATCCCAACCCTTTAAAATTGTTTTTTTTTTGTTTCAATTTATTATCACAATTTTTTTTGAATTACGGTATTTGTATATCATAAAGGGTTTATTTAGTTCTCTTATCTCTATTGTATAAAACTAATAAAGAAAATGATCAATCGTAAAAATATTAACGTGATACTGAAGGAAAACAACTTTTTTAAACAAGTGTGCACATTTCATTTCCCCTTTTTCGCAGCGAAATCATTCCTTTGCTTTATAGACAAGTAAATGCACTAAAATACTTCGTTACGTGGTACCGAAGCATGTATAAGCTATGTTACACGATCACAAATAGACGATGCGCTATGTGGCAAGGTTAATGATATGCATGGGCTATTTTTAGATTACCTCACCAAGAAGTTGAATTGCGTTCAGTAGATCTAAATATAACTCGATCATGCGTGATTTGGTAAGCAGGACCACCCTTTGAAGACGGAATACTACTACCATTCTCTATTGTATAAAACTAATACAGACAAAAAAAACAATTATAAAAGAAACTAACTTTTGCGTCTTGAAAAACAATTGAAACGGAACAATTTCGTTTATAATTTGTTACGATAATCAAGTAAAAATAGAAATCCTATTCATATAAACGAACTGGGATTACCGAAGTAACTAAATAGCTTAGATTTCCGTAATATTACTTCGTATGATTCCGCAGTATGACGGAATCGCCCGAATTGTCACGATTGCAATCGGAACTACATCGGCTATTATCATTAATCCGAAGAGTGACGGAAAAGGCCGAAAAGTTGCGATTGGCACGATTGCAAACTGGTTTCCCGTTCAATATGAAAATAAAGATTTTTAACAAGTAAAGCAATCTAAGCCGGAAACAATTTTGCTAACGGTTGAAAGTAAAAAAAGTTCAATCTTATGTGCGATTAATGTCTGATTTTGCGGTCTATTGCGTGACTATAAACGAAGAAAGGGCTATTTTTGTATATTTTGACTTCTCATCTGCAATTTACGTGGATTAAAAGCGTTGATTGCAATGTTTAAAGTTACTTTATTTCTCCCCCCTTAACATTTTTTGTTTGAAAGTATATAACGCGTAAAATAAATAAATTAGAATTTACTAGTTCGCAAAATGACCATAATTATAGGATTGTTAAGCCCTGCAGTTGAAAAAAAACAACATGCTGTCTTTAGGCATGTCGGGCTCCGATCACACATACCAACCTATCGGCAATTATTTTATTAAGTGTCCGTGAACAGTAAGTATCTTGTTTAACATATAACTTGCCTATATATCATATAACTTGCCTATATATCATAAGACATGCCCATTTATCACGTTGAAGTAGCTTATTCGTTTGAGATTGGACTCGACCAAGTAGAATCATTTTCATAATACATGTATAAATTCAATAAACCTTAACTTATACATAAAGTTGCACCTGTCACATATGTAAATTAAAACAATACAAGTTTTGTATTAGTGACATATGCCGCATATATACAAGTATATAGTGGATCAATTGTTTACACAATGAAATAGGACAATCCGATATAGCAAATCTGTTATTCACGCTCTTCTATGCATAAATGTAATATTCAAAATTACAGCACTGCTATTTTTCACCAAGATTCACGACGTATGTAACTGTTCGATATATCAAAGATTGACAGAAAAAAAACTAGTTTTCATTACGTCATTCACATTCGTGGTCAGTTAACCTTTACTTGCCGAATTTTTTAAAATGAACATTTTCAGCTTGCAGTATTTTTCTTTTTCTTAGAAATTCCTGTTATTTATTATGATCGTGTAAGTTGGCCATTATAGCTTCCTAGCCAGATTACCAGGTTGAACAGTCTGTTTTAAGTTGACGGCTTTCCTTTTCGTCTTATATGGCTCGATTCTTTCAGTAACGCTAATATAACGAAGCCTGAGATACCCTATCTTTGACATTAGAATATTAACGAATTATCTTGTCATTATATGTTTTATGTTCATTGTACATATGTCATATATGTACGTGTGATATAATTTTCATGTTCTCTTTCCACAATCAGTGAAAGTACTACACGCGAAAAAAAAAAGTAAAAGTGATGCAAATTATGAATTAAAATAATTCAAAATTAGTTTTACGAAAAAACAAACTTACATAAAAAGGCCACGGATGCAACAGCTAGCCCAAACATCTTCATGAATATTTAATTGTCTGTGTATCCTGTAACTGTATGTGTAACTCTCCCGAAAGTAATGCCGGATTAAAGTAAAAAAGGCGTTTCACAACAAAATTTACGGTCTCCTCATTTTAAAGCTACACCATCATAGTTGAATGCAAATTTTGTTTATATAACTTAATATAAGTTGCCGTTTTGTAGCTGCAACTTTTCCATCATTTTCAATCAAAACGTAAGCGACAGCGAGGTGTTCAAAGTGTTCTGTAATAACATGGGCATGATATAGAAAAAATGCAGTTGTGTGGAGCACATAAGTAATAAACAATTTCGTTCATCAACAGATATATCTATCATTTTTTTTATTTTATTTTTCAGGGTTGCGAGTCCGTGTGACAACGTGTAAAACTCAGTTAATAATAAAGATAACTTGGATTCAGTTTGGTTATCTTTTTGTTATGTAATAGATATACCATTGCTGCGTTGACGATTTCTGGGTTTGCGTAAATTATACCATAATCACGTGACCTTTCTTATGCCTTAACCTCACGAGACGAAGTCGAGTGAGGTTGCATAAGAAAGGTCACGTGATTGTGGTATAATTTACGCAAACCCAGAAATCGTCAACGCACCAATGGTGTATCTGTTTTAACCTATAGCTCCGCCCAGAAACACTTACTCCTTCGATCTTCAAAACTGAAAATTATACCATAGTCTGGGTATGGTATAATTTACGGTTATTGGAAATTATACTTGGAAGAATTTTACATAAGAAGCGCTGAAGAGCTATAGGTTATCTTTTAATTATACTGATCACAAGTACCTTTTTTTTCGTAAATACATGTATCTTCTTTTTTGTAATATGTAATGAATTTTCTTCAAATAAATTGCGTAAAGGCCTACAACGATAGACATTCGCCGCTTGTGTGCTTTGTCTCACAAGCATCTTCTAGTCTGAAAACATTTATAAAAAACAACAGACAATTTTCAATAAAAAAATATTATCTAAAGAGGTGCTACTTTAAGCATTTTCCGCCATAAAGAGGTGCTACTTTAAGCATTTTCCGCCATAAAGAGGTGCTACTTTAAGCATTTTCCGCCATAAAGAGGTGCTACTTTAAGCATTTTCCGCCATTAAGTCTCACTGATTCGCCACCCTGGACTAGTGTTGGATTTGTAATAACAAATAATTAACCTGCTGCATCAATCGTTTATTTAAAGAAAGAATATTTTCTACGTTTTCTTTCCCTTACCTATTACACTGGGCGGTACTTAACCAAATCTGCACTTTCGCCATTTGATAAATAATTAACACATGTTACCTATAAAACTTTTTTCCGAGTTTTCTTGGACCTCATGATTTTCATTGGTCAGTGGTCATTCTTTTGCAATTTATAACCAATCAAATGCCTGGGATCTGAGTTTGAGCTACAAGAATTTCTTTATAACATGGGACCCAGGTCAATGACGGAGTCGCTTTAACTTAACGCCTTAGTGAAGAAGAGTAAGGCAGACTATTAGCGGTGTGAAATATCCATTAAATTTTATGCGCTGAGTTAAGTTCTTTTCAAAGATAACTTGACACATTAATTTTTACTTGTAGTCTTTATTTTAAAAGCTGTGACTAATGAAATGGTTTTTCTGTTATATAATCTTATGTTACATAAATATTGTTACAAAAAACAGAACATACACACGGTTACAACACAGCAACGCGAAATTGCAACAATCAACGCGTCTTATTTTTCTAAAAAGAAGAGGTCACTGGTACTCTCTGTGTCAGGAAGCTACGCAGCTATCTTTCCACAGGCCATTCGTTCTGCTCAGTCTGAAATAATGCACACTAGCTGTAAGGCACTTTAGATATTTCTATTCAGTATGGCCGTATGACCATCAATGCGTCGGTATGACATATACATGTACATGTTTTTTTTTCAATTCTGATAAATCCGGTACAAGTATTAACCAATTGAACAAAGTCATGTTTCAACTAAAATCATCATCGGACCCAGTCTTATCAATTTAACATCGTTATCCTTCCCATAGTCCAACACAACGATATCAAATGCATATTACACCCCATATATAGCCCCGTTTTATATTTAGGTCAAATGCATAGCGTACCTGACATAACCTTGTTTTCATTTTCAGGTTCAAAATATCTATATCAAATGTATATCGTACTCCAGTTATCCTCAATTTTATTTTCAGGGTCAATTCTTTATATAAAATCCTTATTATACTTGAAGTAACAAAGTTCTGTCAATTTTGAGGAAAAAGAGCCTACGTATATTTATTAATGATGGTGATTCTATTTGACTTTTACACAGCTGCAAATCTTAGTAATATGTCAGACTCAGCGAGAGCCCCGTCCAATATAAGATTGACAGTTCTGTACGAGTCCAATATAATTCAGTATTGAACTCAGTGTTAAATTATGTTTTAAATTGTTGTATGAGAAAATAAACATGCACTAGGAGTCTCACAAGTACAGAAAGTTCGGTATTTATTTGCAGAAATAAAAAGGGTTTAAAAAACCCTACCCTAGAAAATTGTTTTTGTGTGGGCTTTGCCAAAGCAGAGAGATAATTTTAAGATAATTTTTATTTTTTTAAAATTTTTAAAAAAAAATTTTGTAGATATTTTTTGTCTTCCTGATCATATCTCGATGAACAGTTTATTTGTAAACCTGTTGCTAGTCTCTATATATGCGTCATGCGTGCGCATCCTCAATATTCTTATACCGCGAACACTTTTTCAACCGGTATTTTGAACAAAAACGAGTCATATTGAATAGAACAATAAGAATTGATTCGAATTAAATTTCTTTTGCAAAGAAGATGTCCTTACTTCTAGTTTTAATATTCCAAATGCCTTGACACAAATCTCCCCTTTCTCGTCAGTATTTCGCGTTGAATGCGCTTTGGATTCTGCGTACACCGGCGTTGAAATGTTACAGAAATTGTCGATTAAACTGAAAGCTTCAGACAAATGGAAGTTAGTTTATTGTAGAATCTATTTCTGAATATATTTTCAATCTTTGTTATTTTTTCTTTGTACGAAAATGTATTAAAACGAACTTTTTACAGGAAATAGACATTATGATACTGCGTACAATCTAAACAAGAGGGCCATGATGGCCCTAGATCGCTCACCTGACCCATCAAACTCATCCGAACAATTACCTAGACGAGCATTCTGACCAAGTTTCATGACAGGTGAGTCAAAAATGTGACCACTACAGTGTTAAGAAGGATTATCCATATTTGAGCAGTGTGACCTAGTTTTTTTACCCAGGTGACCCATATTCAAACTTGACCTAGAAATCATCAAAACAAACTTTCAGACCAATTTCCAGGATACTTGGATCAAAACAGTAGCAACTAGAGTGTTTACAAGATTTTTCTATTTTTAGCTCCCAGACCTAGTTTCACGTGCGATTTCGAACTCATCCGAGCAATTACCTAGACAAGCATCCTGACCAAGTTTGATGATAATCGAGTCAAAAATGTGACCACTAGAGTGTTAACAAGGTTTTTCCATATTTGGGCGGTGTGACCTAGTTTTTCATCCGAGATGATCCATGCTCGAACTTGACTTAGAAATCATCAAAACAAACTTTAAGACCAATTTACTTATTTGGTATTTGGATAAAAACAGTAGCCACTAGAGAGTTAAGATTTTTCTATTTTTAGCTCCTGTGACCTAGTTTTTCATCCGAGTTGACCCATGTCCGAGGGCAATTGCCTAGACAAGTTTCCTGACCAAGTTTGATGACAATTGAGTCAAAATTGTGACCACTAGAATGTTAACAAGATTTTTCTATTTTTAGCTCCTGTGACCTAGTTTTTCATCAAGGATGACCCATGTTCGAACTCATCCAAGCTATCACCTAGACAAGCATCCTGACCCAGTTTGATGATGATTGAGGCAAAATATGTGACCGCTAGAGTGTAACAAGGTTTTTCTATTTTAGCTTCGGTGACCTAGTTTTTCATCCGAGATAACCCATGTTCGAACTCATCCGAGCTATCAACTATACAAGCATCTTGACCAAGTTTGATGATGATTGTGGCAAAAATGTGACTGCTAGAGTGTTAACAAGATTTTTCTATTTTTAGCTCCGGTGACTTAGTTTTTTCATCCGAGATGACCCATGTTCGAACTCATCCGAGCTATCAACTAGACAAGCGTCCTGACAAAGTTTGATGATGATTGAGGCAAAAATGCGACCGCTAGAGTGTTAACAACTAAATGTGGACGGACGACGGACAATCATCGATCCTAAAAGCTCACCCTGAGCATGCTCAGGTGAGCTAAAAAATCAAGATACTGGGTACACTGTTTTGTGTTATTGATTCTGCCTACACTTCCTTCGAAGCAGTCTTTTGTTTGTTTGTTTCATGTTACGCTTTTTCCCAACAGTATTTCAGTCATATCTATAGGCGAGTAGTTTCCTAACCTGGAGAGTTACACAGGTACTAGACTACCTTCCTACGTGCTAAACTACCAAAGCATCTCCCGGGGATCGAACCCACGCTGGAGAGGTAACTGGATTAGAAGTCATCGACTCTAACCTCTCGACCACGGAGGCGGTCTTCGAAGCAGTTTAAGTTCATAATTTAAAGATGTTTTCGGTAGTTTTCTGTGCGCATCGTTATGCGCTTCCAATACAAGAAAGATAATCACGGATAATTACTCTTCAAATGAAGGTCAAGTTGAATAGTATTCGGGTAAGTGTTTAAATTTCGGCTATAAGCAAATAATGAGTAAATAATACAGAATAGATATTTCTAAATGTTCAAAAGGAGATCGGTTCAAAAGAATAAGAGGACGTTTAGACAACATCACATAAAGGATTTCTCCAAGCATTAGTACGACAGCATTGGTGATAATTCTGCGCGCGTTACCCCACCCACTTGTGGTATAGTGACGAAAGTGCGTGACAGCGTCGCGACTTGATTACTGGCAGACATCTGGGCAAAGAAGTTTAAAATGATATATTTTAAAAGTGTTGAATAAAAAAACAAAATTAATATCTGAGAAATGTTCCTAATTTCATTATTTTCTTTGTAAATTTATGAATACTTGCTTACTGTTCGGGTATGTTAGTAAGTAAAGTAAAACTAGAAATAGGACACGGGTGCCCCCACCGCG